TTTGTTATCTTTTCCCATACTGTGAATAAGGAACCCAGGCCATTGTCATAATACCCCCCCTCCTATCTATAGACAGACTTCCCCCTCTTGTCTCTGCCAACATCTGGTTTTTGCTTTTCATTCTCATTTTGACAGACGATTGTTCGTATGAGTTTTTCCTTTCATATTTGCTTATCTACAAACATTTTATGGTCAAACGCTTTTTATCGCTTCTTAAATTTATTATCTGTAAAATACGCCCACGCGAATTCGAATGGGGAGTTCAGCTGTGAATGAGTGGAATTGTGAATGTTTTATTCATGACAGCAGAAGAACAAAAACAATAGCAAATGCAAATATGAATAAGTTGAGAGAAAAATTGCTGAAAAATACTTGACAAATACCACGCACTCGCTGCCTGCATAAACAATAAGTCATAAAAAGTATAAACAAAACAAACGATGGGAGCGAACAAAGACAAGAGAAAAGCAAGAAAAACGGGAAAAACAAGAAAACGAACCACAGACAACAAAAATGTGAATATCATGAGGCTAGAACATGCACAGTGGAGCGAGTCTGAATGAAAATTACATAAATAAATGTGCATAAATAAAAGCGAATAACTATTATTTATGCACATATATTTTTATGTAATTTCCTATATTTATATTTAACTATTATATAATATAAACACTTTGTTCCAAGTTCTTGCTCCACTGTAATGACTCATTGAAGTGCAATTTGTTGGACCAACGCGTCGTATACGTGTTGTCCCTCTCTCTGTCTCTCTAGTGCCGTCTCTTTGCACATTCTGTGAATCAGCCTAGCAGACAATAGCAAAAAATGGTTATAAAATAGCAAACACAACAAAAATGCACGCCAATGTTTCATTTATACATTTTTGTTTTTATTCTCTTGGCGGCCGAGGACGCGGTGTCGCGGCTTCAGCCAAGTCAACAATTAAAAGACCATTTCATTCACAACAGACAACTGTGTGGCCAGTAGCCAGTGGCCGACGGTCGACTCACGTGATGGGGCTGCAGGGTATACGAGTGTGATGGCTGTCTGGGGAGAAGCACGCTCCTCACTTAAATCACCTTGACCACACACCTGGATCAGAGCCAAAAGCATATTTAAAAGGCTATCAAAACATATACGCATTTATAAACACAGACAAACGATAAAGTGAAAAAAGTAAAAATGATAGCAGATATTAATATAAATATAGACATCGACAGATTAACGATTGGACTAGAGATAGTATGTGGGTAAGAATAGTAAGTATAGTAAGCTATTTTCAAAGAAATGAAATGGGAAATAGAAATTTAATGAAGATCTGAAGATGTATATAGATAATATATTAAAAGATAATAAACAGAAAATAGGAAAAAATATTTTTTAATTTAAAATCAGAATTGGTGCACTTTTGCACTCGGCTGCAATTATAATGCGCCAAGTACGTGCCTCTATATAAATATATAAGCAGCAAAGGCAGATGAAGTGACCTTTCGCTGTATATATAGAGATACGACTATAAAATGCAATGGCTTTTAGGTCACAGCAGCTGGGCGCACACTTAGGTGACCTTTAAAATTACTTTCGAATAGTTGATATGAATGGGCGAATGTGACGTCATTGGCCCTACCCCTACCTCTGCCTTTCTCTCTCTCTCTGTGTCTTTTTCAAATATTCCACCTCACAGCTCGCCCTCTCTCGCTATCTCTTTCTTTTATTGTGCATTCAATGGTTTTTGCACACAAAAGCTGAGTGCATAAAAGTGTAATTAGGAGCATTTGTTGATGCTCTGTTCTATTCAATGCCAACAATTGCCAGGCTCTCAGGCAAGGACACGCTGCCATAGGTGTTGCCAAGTAGCCGAACCTCGACCAGCATGTGTCACATGCAATCGATAGAGGAAACAATTTCTTCTACACAATTTCTAGTACCAGCCTCCAGTGGCCTGCTCAGCTGCTCACCCTCTACCGCTGGCTGGTATTCAATTAATTTGCACTCGGGAAAAAAAAATATATATATATAATGAGGGTTTTTTTTTCTTTGTCTGTGGGGTAAAGTTTTTTCATTATTGATTTATTTTGTGACTGGCTCTTTAAATATATGTATTCATTGCACACACTTGATTTTCATCTGCTGCTGTGCACAACATATGGCACTCTCTTCGTGTGGGTGTGAGTGTGAAGGGGGCGTGGCAGCGCTTGACGTTGCGCCTGGAGCGCTGCGTCACAGCGCAGCAAAAATAAAACGCATATTTCACGTTAAGGACACGGCAACGAGACCAAGACTAGCCTTGAGTGGAATCCTTACAAAAGTGGTAAAAATTTGCCAGCGACTTCAGTCGAGTCGGAGTACTCACTGCCAAGGGTGGATTTTTTCGCCAAGTACGGGCACAGACAGACTGCGCGCCTGCTACCCTAACCCATTCTCATGTCCCGATGCTCTAGCCGAGCCAGACCTCGTCCCATTCAAATGTTTTCCTTTGTTTCTGCCATCTTCTCTCTTTCCCGCTCTCTCTCGCTCCTCATCTTGTATTTCGCATTTACTGTACATTTTTTACTTTAACAGCATTTCAGTTAATTCTTATTTTTGTTCTCTGTTTTCGCAATTCGCTTTAGTTTTTCGCACTTTGTTGGTTTTCTGCTTGGCCTCCAGGTGAGGGACTTACCTTTGCACATATGTATATTTATATACAAATTGAGTTCCTTTACATTCTCAACATTATGTCTGAGTGTCAGTTACTTAGCATGCCACGTCAAATTGAAAAATGAACTTGGACTCGCAACTAGCCCCCGGACATGCATTATGTAAAATTGTCATGATTCGCTTACTAGATAGCCATATGGCATTGGCCTTACATAAGGACGAATGTATTGCATAACTGGGGTTGACTACAATTATTCCAAATATATGTTATTCTATGTATTGTATGAGGCTCGAAAGTTAAGTAGATTAAAGAAACTAAATGAGACTAGCCACTTAATTAACGCCACGTTAATGGCAGTGGCCTTAGGTAGAAATCAGCGCAAATTATATTTTGCAATCCTTCCCCACAGCGGAAGCCAGAGAAATGACTAATTAAATGTAAACCGTAAAAGTTGATTACTGTTGGCTGTGCTGGCCCTAACTGAACTTAACTGGCCAAAAGGGGCCGACTACCTGGTTCAAAGGCGAAAGTGGGAATGAAATCGGACAAGCGAAGCAGAAGCCAGACGGATCGAGTGAGAATCCAGCTACAACTCGGAGACGGCCATATCAGGGCACGACACAAAAGCCCTTGAGCAAGGCGTTAAAACTAAGGGCGGGGCACAAAAAGATGCATTGACAAATAAAAAGCTTAAACTGAAAACTGAAAACTGAAAACTAAAGCAAAACTAAAACGAGAGACGTGCTCAGATGCACAAGCTACAAATGTGCTAAGGGCCACAGCCAAGTACAAATGAATGAATGAAAAAGTGAGTGAATGAATGAACGAACTGTGAAGCAGCTAATGTTTGAATGACAATGTGACTAATGGCTCAACGGACGCTTTTGAGTGAATTATTGAATGAAAGAGTCATTTCGTTTAAATAAATCAGACATCGAAGATGGAGGAGACGCGGAGGGACCAGAGGCGAGTGCTGCGGAATCGACTGTAATAAATGGCGAATGCATCAATTTGAATGTGAGGCGACAAGGCGACGAAGTAGTAGGTGCCAGGGCGTGGCACCAGCTAGGAGATATTTGATATTGTCTTAAAATAAATTTTAGTAATACGGGACTGAGACTGAGACTTAAATCGTTTGGGTTTCACTTTCAATTTATTATCAATAAAATAGTATTGAACTTTGCTTTGTGTTTCTCCACTTATATTGAGTTGTCAATTGTATCTATATTTCCAACTCATCCTTGCATTGTATCTCAAGCCTATATCGCTGAGCTATTCATACCGATTTAAGCGTCGCCCTTAGCTGTAGAGCCACTGAATCTATCTGATAGATAATATTTATATTATTTATAGTATGTGGCAAGATACTTATAGCGCTCTCGCGCCGACAAGCTATTGAAATACGCTGCCAGTCGACATTTGAAGCATGTTGTTTGCCTCCACTCAGCGCTAGATGGCGCTGCACTTACGTATTGTTACTTTGCAGAGCAAAGGCTGATAGCAGATTAGCCACAACTACGAAGAGAGGCGGCTACTAAGCCCCATCACGCACTCTAACTATGATTAGCTGTGCATCATTTCTCAAAATCTGAGTAGTAACTCTCTCTATGCTCCAATTCCCGCTAATGACTTGCATTCGTTTCTAGTCACAAGTATTAAGAGCTGACGCAGCTATGCGACTTTGTCTTTAGATGAAGGCAACTCTGCTCGAGCGAGTTCGTTGGCCTCAATTCTTGTTGGCAACACACTTTAAATCGCATTTGATGAGGGCGCATCAACTATTTTGTCAAATGTCTAAAGTGGGATGATGGGCAGGGGGCGAGTGGGCGTGGTCGCGTAATATCTCCAGCAGTTGAGCTGTAAAAATTGCTTGCGCATCCGTCAAATACTTTTCTTATGCTCCACTCAAGATTACAGCATTTAACATTGTTGTTGCTTGTTTGTTGTTCGCTATTGCTATTGTAGTTGTTGTTGTCAGCATGTTTGTGGCCGAGGCTCTAATTGGCCGCCGGGTTTTGCGTTTGGCTTTGACTTTCTGCTGGACCTCTTATAGATACTAAGTTTTTTTCTCTATCTTTTTTATGCTTAGCCGCTTTGATGTCATTCTAACTGTAAATAGATTTATGTCTATATATACACATCTCTCTATATATACATGTGTATAAATACAATTTATACTCCTATTTTTGGGCAGCCCTTCACAATAATCATCCAAGTCATTGTACAAAGTCCATTGAGAACTACAATAAGAAAAATTAAATAAAATAGTTTTAAATTAAGTTTTGATTCTTTGATTTGAACGCTTTTGTTGACCGAACTACACATACGTGCTTCTTTCTCATTCTCTCTCTATTTTCTACAGGTACCAAGCACAGATCTTTTCGCGGCCATCCCGGCAAATATCAAATGAATTTAGGTAACAACAAATTTAAACGTAGTGTCATTGTTAATAATTATAGAATCCAACTGAAACTTTATATATATAATGCATGATAAATTTGGGTCTTACAAAACTGAAATTCGGAAAGTTAAGTATGTTTATTTAGGCCAGGCTTGAGGTCTAAGAGAGCTTACTATATATTTAGACACGTCCAATTAGAATTGAAAGCAGATTCGAATTTGCTAATTGGAATTGACAAATTGAAATTCATCACAGTTCCATAAGGAAACTTTAGAAGGGCGCAAATGCTTTGCATATTTCAAATTTTATCTCTTATTGTAGATCTAGATATATAAAACTTGCTTAAAGCAACAGTTCTTAGCTTAAAAACTTATATTATTATAGATCTTATTGTAGATCTAATTGAAGTACTCGTTAGCCAATTTTCAGTTAGACCATCTCAAATAAACTACCTTAGATTATGGAACTTCTGTATAAAAGTTCTGATATATAGAACTACTATAGATTGACAGAAATTTCTATAGATTTTAACTTCTTTAGATCAGCAGCTCCAAAATTTAAAAGCTCTATAAATTATATTGCTCAAAACACTTTGAATCTTTTTAATACTAGTAAATCTTAAAGACTCAGCAATTACCTAAACTAGAAATTCCTGGAAATTTTTGCTCTTAAGAAAAATCTCTGAAAATAATGTGTAAGAAATCTGAGTCAACTTATTGTGGCTCTGCGTTGATTATACATAAATATAGAGACCCAATTCCATTATAGTACGAGTGACTCAGCAGAGCTTATTCGAAATGTATATTTATTTATATTTATATATGTTTATTTAATTGAACATATGGTCAAAGTGAGTGGGACACAGGTTAATCTCTAATGCATTGGCCAGACTCGTCGCCTCAGCCGCGCTTCGATGCGCTCCGATTTAGCGGACCACCATGATAAGCCCCTCCGCCCCCACCACTTCTAAAGAGGTCTCAAAGCTTCCGCTCCCTGGCCTCTGCTATAGCTACATATGTAGATATGCCCAGTCTACCTATTGCTATTAATATTTCCTGCCTCGCGCGCATAAATTAACAATTGAAAAGGGAAGACAACGCGCTGACTGGAAACAGGGTACACAGGGAATTGGGAACCCATCTCAAATATTTCTGTTATGGTTTATTATTTGGGCTTTATGACTCTCGAATCGCAGCGCACCCACATTCGAGACTAATTTGAAATGGCTCTCGAGTTTCGAGGAAAATATGTGTGGAAAATGGGGAAAACCAGTTGCTGGACTGGGGAGGAGTGGGCCGAACGCTCGCCCAGAATCTGAGTGCCAGCGGAAGTGACTGCTTAATAAAAAATAAAACGAAAATGAAAATAAACCGTTGTGAATTTCTCAATTATTTCATTGTGTGATGCCGTCAAATGGAGAAAAGATCGGAGATGCGGATAAGCTGAAGTTGAAATACTCTAAAATACTTGAAGTACCTTAGTTGAAAGCGCTCTGTCTCTCCAGCTAGGTCTTGTCTCTCCAGCTAGGTTATCAGAGGTATAAAATTACATTCATACCAAACAGATATATATACTATATATACATGAAGAGATCAGTTGCAAAGTTTAGTTCAAAGCTGAAATGGTTTTTGATCAAAGGGTAGAGCCAGCCGCACAAGCCGCTTTGCTGTGGTGTTTCGCATCCGCCAGATACAGATGCAGTTACAGATATAGATCCAGATACAGATACAGATACAGATACAGATGCACATGCATATAGATACAAGTGCACAAATAGATACACAGCTTGGTGAAATCTGTTAGAATTCTCCCACAATAAAAGTGACGTCGAGTGGGACGATTATTTGTGCCGTGTGTTCCTGTTGGCAGCAATGTTTTAATGTTTTGGTGTAATTTTTTGTGCTGCTCTATGCATAATTTATTTTTTCAATGGAAGAGAGTTAAAGGCATCCAATCTCTCGCGCATCTCGAGGTAATGCCCGCATTCCTGTGTGTGTGAAAAACGGGTTTACCTTGCCTGCCAACCAGCGAGCGAGCGAGCGAGCGAGCGCTCGCCCAGCTAGCGAGTTGCAATCACATTGTTTCGTGAACAGGCAGATTGATTAAACGTTCACTCACCTTCTATTCTCTCTCTCTCTCTCTTTCTATCTCCCATTCATTTTGCAGAGGCGCTACTCCAATCACGTCCATTGCCACACATTCCAGCCGGGAGCACAGCGGCTGCACTGTTAGCAGATGCAGCTGAGCTACAGAGCCAGGATTCATCAGTGCTCGCCTCGTTAGGTGGGGTGCATAGCTCGACAACGTCTGTGTTCGAATCAGCACATCGCTGGACTTCCAAAGAGAATCTCTTGGCGCCGGGACCCGAAGAGGATGATCCTCAGCTGTTTGTGGCGCTGTACGACTTCCAAGCAGGCGGCGAGAATCAACTGAGCCTCAAGAAAGGGGAACAGGTGCGCATTCTCAGCTACAACAAATCGGGTGAGTGGTGCGAAGCTCACTCAGACTCCGGCAACGTGGGTTGGGTGCCCTCCAACTATGTGACGCCGCTCAACTCACTCGAGAAGCACTCCTGGTACCATGGACCCATCTCACGAAATGCTGCTGAGTATTTGCTCAGCTCAGGCATTAATGGAAGCTTCCTGGTGCGCGAGAGCGAAAGTTCGCCTGGACAGCGAAGCATCAGCTTAAGGTAGGCTACACAGGTTTGCGTTCATTCTACGTACAACTTATCTTCATTGAAACCTTTCAGATACGAGGGCCGCGTCTATCACTATCGCATCTCTGAAGACCCAGATGGCAAGGTCTTTGTCACACAGGAGGCCAAATTCAATACGCTCGCCGAGCTAGTGCATCATCACAGCGTGCCACATGAGGGACACGGCTTGATAACACCTCTGCTCTATCCAGCGCCCAAACAGAACAAACCCACAGTCTTTCCATTGAGTCCCGAGCCAGATGAATGGGAAATTTGTCGCACGGACATCATGATGAAGCACAAGCTGGGCGGCGGCCAATATGGCGAGGTATACGAGGCGGTATGGAAACGCTATGGCAATACAGTGGCCGTTAAAACGCTCAAGGAGGATACGATGGCGCTTAAAGATTTCCTCGAGGAAGCAGCCATCATGAAGGAGATGAAGCATCCAAATCTCGTACAACTAATCGGTGGGAAACTGGAAGCCCAAGCTACCTTTGCTCATCTATAGCTTAGACTCATTTAATTTCCCTCCTTCCAGGTGTCTGCACCCGTGAGCCGCCCTTTTACATCATCACAGAATTCATGTCGCATGGCAATCTACTGGACTTTTTGCGCTCGGCTGGCAGAGAGACCTTGGATGCGGTGGCCCTACTCTATATGGCCACCCAAATAGCATCTGGCATGAGCTATCTGGAGTCCCGCAATTATATCCATCGAGATTTGGCAGCTCGCAACTGCTTGGTGGGCGACAACAAGCTCGTTAAGGTGGCCGACTTTGGGCTAGCGCGACTAATGCGCGATGATACGTATACGGCACATGCGGGCGCCAAGTTTCCCATCAAGTGGACCGCCCCAGAGGGATTGGCGTACAATAAGTTCAGCACCAAGTCGGATGTGTGGGCCTTTGGGGTGCTACTATGGGAAATAGCGACATATGGCATGTCGCCATATCCTGGCATTGATCTCACCGATGTGTACCACAAACTGGAGAAGGGCTATCGTATGGAGCGGCCACCGGGCTGTCCGCCGGAGGTGTACGATCTAATGCGCCAGTGCTGGCAATGGGATGCAACGGATCGGCCCACATTCAAGAGCATACACCATGCGCTGGAGCACATGTTTCAGGTGGGTGACGGTGACGGTGATGTCGATTTCGAGGTGTGGGATGATGATGATGATGATGATGACCTCGATGATATCGATGATGATTACGATGGCGACAATGACGACAATGATGACGACAATGGCATTGAGCTTTGATTTCAATTGGCGTCTGCATCACCATCGTCGCTCATGGAATGCCAGCGCAACCAATGTGATAGTCTCGCAATCATCAGTAGTGATAATCGCAATAATGATCCACGTGCTGCACGTCTCTCCTTCTTCGCTCCGCAGGAATCGTCCATCACCGAAGCGGTAGAGAAACAGCTCAACGCCACAGCTATAGCCAGCTCCGGTACAGGCTCCAACTCCGGTTCCATTTCCACTGCAGCGGCTGGTGTAGCTCCCCCCACAGCGACGGCCAGTGCCTCCTCCTCAGCCTCCGCCTCACTCAGTCTGACGCCACAAATGGTCAAGAAAAGTCTGCCCAACGTTGAGCAACAACAGCAGCAGCAGCAACAGCTAGCTAGCACGCCCATGTCAGGTGAATCATTGTTGTCCACAAATAAAACGAATTCAGACTGATCTCATCTCACACTCCCACACAGAAACTGGTTCCACATCCACCAAGCTGAGCACCTTCTCCAGCCAGGGCAAGGGCAATGTGCAAATGCGTCGCACCACCAACAAACAGGGCAAACAGGCGCCAGCACCGCCAAAGCGTACTAGGTATGTCTAAGCCGTGCGCCTCAAAGTCCAATTAGAAGTTATTTATAATAATTAATTCATAATTTCTCTTTATTTAGTCTGCTTTCCAGCAGCCGGGATTCCACATATCGCGAAGAGGATGCACGCAATTTGATAGATGAGCTCAATACGAATGGTAGTAGTAGAAACTTCCACTTCAACTCCAACAACATTTTAAGCCAAACCCTATGTAGAAACTTTAAAACCCAAATTCCAACCCAGACACAAATACGTACACAACAACAACAACAACAACAACAGAAAGAACAATTATTACAGTCACCAATATTACAACAACAACAACAACAACAAACATATTCAATTAAAAAATCATCCTCCTGCAGTAGTTTCCTTTACGACATCCTATTTCGAGGTATTTGTCAATGGAGTAAGAATTCCTATTTACAATTTATGTTACGTTTTAATTGGTTTGTGTTGCACAAGGAACAAACTTTATTTTTATTTTTATATTCTGTATTTGCATTCATAACTGTTCATTCAATATTCCAAACTACTTAAAACTAGACAAAGCTATTTGACTAATGAGCAGTCTTTGAAAACTGAATACTTTAGCCAGTTTTAAATGGTTTTCATAATGAATATGTTTCTATCTTTATACTAAATTTTAATTGCTTTAATTTATACGTTTAAGTGAATTTACAAGTGGAATTGGTTTATGTACAAAAGTTATTTAATCTCTTAAAATCATGAATATTTGTTGCAAATCAAGTTTAGACTAAATTCGAGTCTGTTAAAGATACTATACTATATGTATAGATACTATGCCTATAACATATTAAGAACAAGTTTTCCAAGTTTCCCAAATAACTCAAATATCTGTGCTTTAAGTTTTTATTGCAACCTTTTGCTGTTGCCAATATTTATATATGTCATTATTTATATATAGTATACGGATTTCAGAATCTCAGTCTGAGCCGTTTGTGATTCCACTGTAAATGCATAAAATCTTATTTGTTTTTATTTTTATTTTTTGTTTAATTTTTTGTTTTGTTTAGTTTTTGGTGTTTTTATCTCTAAGTTATAAATTTGACTTTCTTAGTTTTAATTTTGCTTTATGTTTCATTCTGTTTTCTTTTTACTCTTAAATGGTTTGTGTAGTGCCTCTAATATTTGTTTCGTTTTTTTCTTATTTTGTTCTGTTTTGGTGTTGACAAATATTAAGCCAACAAATGGGTTTGTCGCCACATGTCCACAGGTCTCAGCACTTGCTAATCATATCCCATACCCCAAGCACGAGCATGCAGATCGCCTTTGAAGTTCGTTTATATAATAGTCTTTATGGTTGCAGGTCTCACGCGTGACATCAATAACTTGACGCAGCGATATGATTCGGAAACTGACCCTGCTGCCGATCCGGATACGGATGCCACTGGCGATAGCATAGAGCAAAGCTTGACTACAGTTACGCCGCCTAATAAGATGCAGCACTCGCTGCATGCCGGTGTCTCGAGTCTTACTGGCGGCATTGGACCACGCTCCTCGCAGCAGCACAGCTCGTTCAAGCGCCCGGTGATGGGCAATCGAGGCCTGGAGACACGTCAGAGTAAGCGTTCGCAACAGCCGACACCGAGCAGTGTGACCACCAATGGCAACGGCGGCACACCTGTGCTGCCGGCTCATCCCATTACTGTGGGCGCTTTGGAGGTGATGAATGTTAAGCGGGTCGTCAACCGCTATGGCACTTTGCCCAAAGTGGCACGCATTGGCGCTTTCCTGGACAGCCTAGAGGACAGCAGCAGCAGCAACAGCAGTGGCGGAGGCACTGCTGCTGAAGCACCAGTCAATGGACACACCACATCAGCTGGAGCAGCTCGTGCTTTGCCCGCTGTGCCCGCCTTGCCTACAGCGACTAGCAAGGCGCAACAGGTGCCACAACAGATGATTCGCAGCAATTCCTCTGGTGGCGTGACCATGCAAAACAATGCAGCGGCCAGTTTGAATAAGCTGCAGCGACATCGCACCACCACTGAGGGGACTATGATGACCTTCTCCTCGTTTCGAGCTGCCGGCAGCAACAGCTCTCCTAAACGTGGTGGTATTACACAGCCGGCGCTGGCCAATCTGGAGTTTCCACCACCGCCGTTGGAGGAATTTGAGGCATTGCCACCACCACCGCCACCGCCAGCCCCGGAGAGTGCTGTCCAAGCCATACAACAGCATCTGCATGCGCAGCACAGCAGCAGCAACGATGTTAGCAATACGGCGCCCAGTGTCGAAGAGGCCAGCTCCCGATTTGGTGTCTCACTGCGCAAACGTGAACCCTCCACGGATTCATGCAGTTCTCTAGGCACACCACCCGAGACATCAGCATCAGCAGGAGCAGCAGCCACCGCTGCCGAAGAAAAGGGTCTCAATCTTAAAGAGAAACTCATCACAGAAATCAAGTCAGCGGGCAAGCCATCCGATTCATCTGTAGGCTATTCCAATGGCAGTGTCCCAGTCGTTGTCGATCCTGTTGCCCAGTTGGTTACCGAGCTGGCCGAGAGCATGAATTTGCCCAAGCATTCAAAACTGACAAATGGCAATTGCAACAGCAACACCAACACCAGCAACGCGAACAGCAGCAACAACAACAACAACTTTAAGGCACAGCTGAAAAAGGTGGAGCCAAAAAAATTGAATGCACCCATTCCAAAGGCTGAGCAGCCCACAAATATAATTGACTTTAAAGCACATCTGCGCAAAGTGGACAAAGTGGAGCAGCAACAGCCCAAGGAGCAAACTGTGCAACAACAACAGCAACAATCGCCCAATGCTAATTGCAATACTGCGCGCAAAGAAGAAACCAAAAAGTTTAGTGCTGCAAATCAAAAGACTGAAATCAAAATCGATGTTAGCAACTCCAATGCGGATGCGGATGGAGGCGACACGAGCACGGGCACGGGCACAGGCACAGGCAACAGTTCAGACGGTGGCAAGCGACGCAGCACAGGTAGTATTAGTAGCTTAAAAAAACTTTGGGAGCAGCCTAGTGGCGACTATGCCAGCACCACAATCCCACAGACCATGGCAACCAGCAATGGTGGTGCCAGCACCGCCCAATTGTCGCCCAAATATGGCTTAAAAGCAATCCAGCAGCCATTGGCTAACGTTACTGGGAATAGCAAAGTGTTTGGTAACAAACCGCCGCCAGCGGCACCACCACCACCGCCCCCAATTAGCAGCACTCCAAGCACTCCACAGTCCAAGCCAGCAGTAGCAGTAGCTGCCACCACAAAATTAGCAACCACAGCAATAAAAACATCTCTTTCAACGCAACTCTTCACAGATGCCGAGGGCAGCAGCAGCAGCAATGAGGAGCAGCAGCAAACACGTGATCAAGCGGAGCTCATGACGCAATCGCTCTATGGCGATCAGTACAACAACTCCAACTCCCACGCCAACGTCAACATCAACATCAACGCGAACTCCTCTAGTCAACAGCAGCCGATGCCGAGCAATGCCAACAACAAGCTGAGCAGCTCCTCCAGCAATAGTCAGAATAAGCCTGCCGTGCCGCATAAGCCCACCAAGCTGACTATCTATGCCACGCCCATAGCCAAAATCGCTGGCATTGGTGTCGGCGGAGACAACATCAATTCGACGCAGATATCTAGGGAGAGCATATTGGAGCTGGTTACGCTGCTGGAGGGTTCCCTGAAACATCCAGTGAATGCAATCTCCGCATCGCAGTGGCTGCAGCTTAGCGACAAGTTGAATATACTCCAAAATTCGTGTGTGGTCTTTGCGGAGAACGAATCCATGCCGCCGCACTCGAAATTCCACTTTCGCGAGCTGGTGACCCGCGTGGAGACGCAGTCGCAGCATTTGCGCACAGCCGGCAGTAAAAATGTGCAAGACAATGAGCGATTGGTTGGTGAGGTGGGCCAATCGCTCAAACAGATCTCGAATGCTCTGCATAGGTAAATGATAAGAACGGGGATGGACGCACAGCGGAGCGGTGTTGCACTCGCTGACAACAGCGGCGCCGGCATATGGCTGGATGCCGAGGGCAATTTTATCAAGCGTAGGCAACAGCCCCACTGATCAAATATATATATATAAATATATATATATGTGATGTATATGTATATACATATCTATATATATGTATTTGTCACACACAATGCTCCCACCATCCCCCTCGCCCACTTCCAGTGAAGGCGGATAAAAGACAACGAACTGGAAACGGATTAAACGATAGCATAACTAACACTTGAAAGCCCAGCGAAGAAGCTCAGCAACAGACAACAAGCAACCAATAACAACAACAAAAATAAACTACAAATATAATTAATTATTATATATATATATATATATATATATATATATATATATATATATATATATATGTATATATATATATATATATATTTACTATTTAGTAGTTGGTAGCATGTAGTACCAACTGCAGTAGTATTTAGTAACCGTAGCGATTATACATACATCTAGTCATATATCTGATGCATCTGCTTATATCGAGAGAAAGATAGAGAGACAGAGAGAGAGAGAGTGTGAGAGAGAAAGAGAAAGAGAAAGAGAGATAGAGATAGAGGGTGGGCTTCGAAACTGAGTTGCAAAGCAAATTTTTCTATATAAGGCATTGCTCGTATTAATGCCGTCTTCTGCTATTATTTTTTTAATTGTGAATTATCTTTATCCATATACACATTATTCTTTTTGTTTTTTGCCACTTTTCAATTAAGCTTAAGCTTTGTTCTAATTAACATTGAAAGACATATAAGTGCATATAGAGGGGGTTGATAGCGGAAACTTTTTGATGAATGAAATATAATTATATATATTCATAGAATATCTCAATAAATAAGTAATTGCAATGCACACACACACATATATATATATATATATATATATATATATATATATATATATATATATATATATATATATATATATATATATATATATATATATATATATGCTAGTCGGTAAAAGAGTTTTTAGTATACCTATACAAGATACATATATATATAATTTTATGTCATACGATGTCCGTTATGAATCGGAAAAACTCTATCTACAACGTTTAGACTTTTCTTCGTGTTTTTAGTGTTCGTAATACTTACATAAATACATTAATCTATGTGTACTACTTGGCATAAATTTAAACAGTAGCAAAGCCCAAAGATATTATTAACGACTTCTCGAAAACAAAATACAAAAATACAATTTATATATATATATATATATATATATATATATATATATATATATATATATATATATATATATGTTAGTTGCAAGACTAAAACTGATTAGTTTACGTTGAACAATGCAAGGTAAAAATAAATATAAATTGGTGGCAAACGCTTTTTAAATTCATACTTATACACAAAAAATTGTAATTATTAACTGATATTTTATGGATTTTAAAACTACTTTTATACGTAAAAACACAACACACACATACAAACACACACAAATGGAAAAAACAACAAAAACCAAATAAATATTCATTTCATAAATATAGCTTCGAATCAACACTAGGGCGGGTCATATAATATATAATGTTGGCATATATATACATATTGATGTGCATTACAAAATATTTATCCAAACAAAATATTTCCCCCTAAATAACAGACAAAGACAATGTGCATTCAAAACATATATTTATACATAAATATAAATATAAATACTATATTTCTGTAACTTCTATAACATCTGTGCGTTTGAAAGCGCTTAGAGTATATATATAAATATATATAGATACATATACAATATTTAAAAAGAAACGGATCAAAAATACTTCAAGGAGAAATAAAATGATATTAAAAACTTAATGCGCTGAGTTCTATAACTTTTGATTACGCTGAAAAAATAACATGGGAAGTTGTCTTTATGGTTTTCGAAAAACAAGTGTAACAGATCCTGCACACTTAATCAAACTTTTTAAGTTTTTCATGGATCAAATCGTATATCAAAATTAATTTTTAACGGAAGCTCAAATTTTCATTTAAGATGTCCGCCGCGTTGGTAACCATATAGTAATCGATTTGTGTCATACCGATAAATATCGTCATTTCACAGCACTACCTCGGAACTGATCTAGTTTGCTTGGGTCTGCTGGAATTGTGTTTGTAATGTAGCCCTATAACAAGACACAGGGTCGGAACACTTTGCTGATTCTGTTGAATTCAAATATGTAAATTTCTCATGCCATTCGAACGTAAATTTGTAATTTATAATCATGCATTAAATTATTCTACAAAATTTGACCATTCTGATTTTGTGATAGTGGAAAAAACAAATAATGAAATTTTTTTGGGCGGGTATAAAATATCGGGCGGTGTGCATAACAGTTCCACAAATGGTAATGTTATTACCGCTGTTATGTTAAATAACATTTCGTTTTGGCATTCGTTCTTTTTTTTCATTAAGAAAAGAAGAAGAGAAAGAGGAAAAAAGACGAAATAATATATAATAATAGAATATTATTTATACTGTGATATATAGCCAAGCATTGTTTTGTGTCTGCAAACCAGTAATTGGATAAACGAATCAGTAGTAATCCAGAACGACCAGTAGCAAACCAATTGCGACAACAACAACAACAACAGCAGCAGCAACAACAGCAACAAGAGGAAATTTAGCCAGCAGCAGAGGCAGCAACAGCAGCAGCTTTTACAATGCCACTCTTTGGTAAATCACAGAAGACGCCAGCTGAATTGGTCAAGTCGCTGAAGGAGGCGATAAACGCACTGGAATCAGGGGATCGCAAAGTAGAGAAGGCACAAGAGGATGTTAGCAAAAATCTGGTATCGATCAAGAATATGCTGTATGGCAGCAGCGATGCGGAACCGCCAGCAGACTATGTAGTTGCGCAGCTATCGCAGGAACTCTATAACAGTAATTTGCTGTTACTGCTGATACAGAACTTGCATCGCATCGATTTTGAGGGTAAGAAGCATGTGGCGCTCATATTCAATAATGTGCTGCGCCGGCAGATAGGTACCCGATCGCCTACAGTGGAATACATATGCACGAAACCGGAAATCCTATTTACATTGATGGCTGGCTATGAGGATGCACATCCGGAGATAGCCCTCAATTCGGGCACAATGCTGCGCGAATGCGCCCGCTACGAGGCGCTGGCAAAGATCATGCTTCATTCAGATGAGTTCTTCAAGTTCTTTCGGTATGTAGAAGTGTCAACGTTTGACATTGCCTCCGATGCCTTCTCCACGTTCAAAGAACTGCTTACACGCCACAAGCTCTTGTGTGCCGAATTCCTGGACGCCAACTACGATAAGTTCTTTGCTCAGCATTATCAGCGACTGCTGAACTCGGAGAACTATGTGACACGACGCCAGAGTCTGAAGTTGCTCGGTGAACTGCTGCTCGATAGGCACAATTTCACTGTGATGACGCGATATATATCAGAACCAGAGAACCTGAAACTAATGATGAACATGCTGAAGGAGAGATCACGCAACATACAATTCGAAGCGTTTCACGTCTTCAAAGTATTTGTCGCGAATCCAAACAAACCGAAACCGATTCTGGATATCCTGCTGCGCAATCAAACGAAACTGGTAGACTTCTTAACCAGCTTCCATACGGATCGATCCGAGGATGAGCAATTCAACGATGAGAAGGCCTATCTGATCAAGCAGATAAGAGAGCTGAAACCGCTGCCCGAAGCTTAGTGGGCAGCTATGACGAGAAAGAGAACCAGAACGAGAACGAGAACATTTTGGCCTTGGCTGTATGGCAGGATGACGATAGCGAAGACGAAAGCAGGAGGACAACAGACAAAGGACGTAGACATAGATACATGTGTGTGCAGGGCGTGGATTAATCACAACCAAAGGCAAATGCATAAGCAATTGCAATACACATACAAGAGACGAAGACAACGACGATGACGATGACCGATGACCGATGACGACAGCACTTGTGAGTAACTAAACAATAATTTAGACAAAGCAAACAACAAAATGATAACGATAAATAACGATAAAGCAGAATATATAAGTAGTAACAGCAAGTACACACAATATATTGTATGTAACAGCGTAAAAGAGTAAATGCAGCCGCAGCATATCGCGAATTTAACTAAAAAAGGAAAAACAAAACGAAAACACTCACACACTCACACAACACACACACAAATATTCACATATATAACTTTATTTTCCCATCACTGAGAATATAACATATTCGATCCAGCTTCCGTCTAGTTCGCCTTTAAAATTGTTCAGAGTTCGGTTTGCTGTTGCTCCAGTTCCAGTTCCAGATCCTCGTGCGCTTGTAGACGTATATAGACCCTATGTACACCTCTACCAATCTACTGTTACTACTACTTTTCGTAAAAACGGTTTATTATTATTTTGATTTTCTTCTCTTTATTTTGTGTAATTCTTTTACTATTTAAATAGTTGTTGTATTGAAATTGACGCGTTTTTGAAACGTTACAACCAGGATAATGAAGATAATATATGAGTTTTGACTTACAATTTAGACATAAAACATTTCAAATGTGCGCCGAAGTTAACAATTACGGTAACTTATTTTTATTAAATATGTATGAAAGAAACCAAAATCAATTGTAATTTCACGCAAAAACTTCATTCAGAATACTGCATAATAATTATAGTTATAATTAACAAAAAGCATTCAAAAAACACTCCACCCCACTTCAATACACACACATACACACACTTAACATACATACGTACATAGTAAAAAAGGGAAGTAAAACAACAACATTACGAACAGCGTAATAAATATATGATTATTATAATTTATATTATTCCCAAAATTAAAGATAACAGCCAAAAAACCCCTTGTGTCATTCTGATTGTAAAATGGTTGAATATGGAAGGGGGTAGAAAACACTGCCGTAGACGTTCAAAGCCACTGAGTCATGTGCTCGTTCCAGGGCTGCACTGCTAGAAATTCTTTGCTTACGATAGTAATTTGCAAAAGCTTTCAATATTTAAATATCAATTCAGGATTAGAGAAGTATTGTTTACAGAACTGCCGATTTCAGTTAATATTCGCATAACAAGCAAATTATTTCGCAGCCCTGGTACAAATCAGCTGTCTTAAAATTTCAGCGCCTAAGAAATTTAGTGTTTTGCGTTTTAAAACATGCATAAGAGATTTTGCAAATTAGCAAATGAAACAAAAGAAAACGACAACAGCGGCAACATCACACAGGCAAATGTAAATCTGGAAGGAAATAAGTCATTTGAGACTAAGAAATATGTAAAACAGAAGCAAACACAATCTGTCGAGGCGAATATTTCCGACACAAGCAACGATGAGCTCCAGAAAGATCATGTGGAGGAGAGTTCCAAATGGCTGCCAAGTCTTAAGAGATACAGTAGCGATTCCATGCCTCCAAAATTAATGCACCGAAGGACGTACCAGTCGTTGTCGATCTCCATTACAACTAAATCTCAGTCTCAAGCCCAGCCAAAGAATATATTTGATGTATCTACCTGTTCCTCTCAATCACCAATACAAGATCAATTGGAGGAGGAGAATCCCAAGTGGCTGCCAAATCATAAGCATTACAATAGCGATCCCAAGCCTCTAACATCTATGCTGCACAATAATTATCAGCCCTTATCTAGCTCCGTCACAGCCAAATCTCCATCTGAGACTAAGCCAACAAATGCATTTAATGTATCCAACTGTTCCTTTGTATCACGGAAACGCACACCAGGAGAATGCCGAGCTGTCATTAACAGTATTCGAGAAACACTAACAGCACTAAACCGCAACCCACAATCTACGAATTGCAGACCACCATTCGGCCAGAAGGCAAATGGAAATCTACAAGGAAATCAAACACTTGTGGCTAAGGCAAATTTGCAAAAGAACCGAAGGCAACGCGTCGATAAATTGGAGGATCCCAAGCTTCTAAAATTAATGCACCGCAGGAGGTATAAGCGGTTGCCGATCTCTATTACAACTAAACCTCAGGCTCAAGCCCAACCAAAGAATATATTTGATGCATCCAACTGTACCACTCAATCACCAACAGCAAACCCTTGTACATCTCAACAAACGCTAAAACCATTAAAAAGCAACGAGACTATGACTAAACCACTTTTGGATTGCACGCCAACCATCTCCCCAGTGGCAAATATGGGGAAGATGGTAGATAGGCAGCATATTCCACAAAGACTTGTTCAAAAGAAAGAGCGTTGCACTAAAGGTGGATATCTATATGAATTCAACAGCCTGATGCTGAACGAACGCATGGATCGCCGCATGTTGGCTCACAATCCACGTCTGGGCATAAGCTCAGGCCAACGCGTCCAAGTGCTGGCCATATCAGAATCTTTTGGTGTGCGAATGGCACAAGTAAAGCCAATAAATGGGGAACAGGATAAGGAAAATTTTAATATTATAATCTCGCCTGCCATGGCAGCTGGCTTCCGTGTGGGCGCTACTGTGGAACTTTATTTTGACTTGAAGCCCGAGACAGCATTAAAGCTCCCTAATAACGAGCTGGTTTACGTACAACCAAATAAATTACTTTTATTATAAGTACGCACTATTAAAAATACTTTTAAATGTAGTAGTATAAAACTAAATGCACCTAACGTCGCTTTTTCTTCTCCAGTTTACGTATTTTGTGCAGACGCCGGGCTGCGTTGCCGTTGCCCTGTGCTGGCTCATCGATGAGGCGTGACTCGTCCTCAATTGTGTCCTGTGAATCGTTACCACTCATTAACACCGCTGCAGATATGCAAACAAATTGAAATATGGCGCCCACAAAAAGTCCATAGCGTACTAGCACGGTAATGAAGTCTTCTTCACCATATTTGTCAAGAGTGGCTGCAACTACTCCCATATTATCAGCAGACATTTTTTTGCAAAAATTTGTTTATTACTTTGTGTAAGCGTCGCACAGGGTGACTAACTCATAAAACAGCTGTTGCAGCTGTTACAAATATAAGAAGAAGCAAGCATTTTCCAAAAAGCCTATTTCGTATTGAGTTGATTAAAGAAATCTTACTTTTGTCTATATTTTCTTAATTTTTAATATTTTTGGTAAAGTAGCCTTACTTAATCCTTAACGTTTTATTAATTTATTTTAATACGTGCACAAAGCAGCTGACTTGACTGTCAAGAATAGAAGAAGAAGCAAGAATTTTCCTGTGGTTGCGGTTGATGACTTCAATCGATTTTTGCATAATTCGTTTTTATTATTTAAGTATTTTGTATATAACTTCATTATGTCGAGCTTTCGTTTACTAACCGCCCTTCGCGCTACCCGTCCGCTGCCCATTAACAGTCAAAATCAGCGATTTGTTGCCAATAAATCACATGAATTTACATTTGCCCGCCGCCAGTTCTCGAAGGCCTTAAAGGACGTGGAAAATGGAAGTATAACTAGGAAATCATCGAAACCAAATGGCACGTTTAAGTTGACATTGTTGGGAGCGTGCATTGGCGCTGTCGCAGGATCTACATACACTATCTACACACGAATATGTGACAAGAACTCACACAAGGAGCACGAACGGACGCCGCCTAAAGTCGTGGAATTTTTCCCAGCGGACGTGCGCATTACAAAGCGCTTCATAAATCCTAAGGATACTTCCGGCCTGGACATAGTGCTATTTCAATACCAGACATGTCCATTCTGTTGTAAAGTGCGTGCATATCTGGACTATATGGGTATCTCCTATTCAGTTGTGGAGGTTGATGCAGTGCTTCGACAGGATATCCGATGGTCAGAGGTTAAAAAGGTGCCAATGGTACTAATCCGCCAACAGGATGGCCGATATGTACAGATGACTGACTCCAGCGCCATTATTTCCCTTGTGGCTTCCAGCATTCACGATAATCGCATCGATGTGGGTGAGCTAGCGCAGTTCTATCCACATATTTCCTATTTCGATGATGATGGTAAAAAGCGTCAAGACATATTGAACAAATACTTTCTCATGTACCAGGATCGCACACCCAAAAATATGACCAAAGAAATCGAAGAGTGAGTATCTAATTACTCGCCCAATCATTAGTTTATTATTTCGATATTTTTGCAGAAATGAACGCAAGTGGCGAACCTGGGCAGACAATCACCTAGTTCATCTTATATCACCCAATTGTTATCAGACCTTTGATGAAGCGCTGGAGACATTTGAGTGGTTCTCATTAGCAGGCGAATGGGATGTCCATTTCCCTAAATGGGAGCGTGATTTGATGGTTTACTGCGGCGCGACAGCAATGTGGGCAATAGCCAAAATATTGAAGCGACGGCATCAGCTCACTGACGATGTCCGTTCCCATATGTATGATGCCTTGAACAAGTGGACAGCGGATCTTAAAAAGCAAAATACGAAATTTATGGGCGGCAAAAAACCAGGACTAGCGGATCTTTCCGTGTTTGGCGTGCTCAGCAGCATGGAAGGATGCCAAACATTCAAGGACTGCTTACAAAACACAAGCATTGGTAACAAAAACCTGTAATGAAAAAAAAAAATGATCCATTACATTTTCTTTTATTGCAGGTAAATGGTTTTACGATGTTAAGGAACTTGTGCAGCAGAATCGCGGTGAATTGCATAGGGAGCGTATAGTTGGTGTAACAACGTTAGCATAGTAAAAGTAATGTGAAACATTTACGCTTTGTGATTAAAAATTGTTTAAATAAATACCGCAAATTTTTTATCAATTCAAATGTAATGGACTTTCGATATAGTTTGCTTAAATGACAGTCACAGCATGTTGCTTTAAAAAATATCGATTAATCGATGTCAACTAAACATCTCTAATTGTGTGAAACGCCGCTAGACGGAAACTTGCAAATCATTTCGGGTTGCTTTTCGTCTTGGAAATTTATAAAAGCTAAAAAAAAAATGAATAGTTTTGGCATAGAACAATTCCCGGATTATAAAGTGCCCGGAGTGCAGCATGTGGATTTTTCTCCCTACGAGTCCAACGGCGGGTGAGTGCTCAAAATACAAAATTAATAGAATTGTCAGCAATGTTAAATATGTTCTACAATTGGCAGCTCCATCGTTGCCATCGCTGGAGATGACTTTGTGGTTATTGCCGCTGATACACGACTGAGCAGTGGTTACAGCATCCACTCTCGTGACCAGAGTAAACTTTTCGAAATGTCATCAAAAACGGTTTTGGGCTCCACTGGCTGCTGGTGCGACACCCTTTCGCTGACTGGGCTGGTTAAAGTGCGAATGCAAATGTATGAGCATACCCACATGAAGACAATGACGACTGATGCAGTGGCACAAATGCTTTCTATTGTCATGTATAACCGCCGCTTCTTCCCCTATTATGTGTCCAACATCTTGGCTGGTCTGGACAAGGATGGTAAGGGCGCTGTCTATTCATACGATCCCATTGGTCATTGTGAACGTGCGACTTATCGTGCCGGTGGCACTGCTGGAGCTCTGTTGCAGCCAGTGTTGGACAACCAGATTGGTTACAAGAATCAAAACTTGTCCGCTGATCAGTTGCCGCCACTTACTAAGGAACGTGCAGTTGCAGTTGCGTCTGATACATTCATATCGGCCGCTGAACGTGATATATATACTGGCGACTCGGTGCTGATAAATATCATTACTGCTGACGGAATTGAGGAACGAAAGCTCCAATTGCGCAAGGATTGAAAATGCTAAGGTCAAGGGTAACAAAAAAAACTGCATTCACATATTACGTTCGACTTAAATTTGTTGTAACTCTATAAATAAAACAAAAATCTACAAGATGTACTGTGTTTCAATTGTGCTAATTTTAAAGAATATCCTATAACCTGGCCTTGCAAACAAGCGAAACATTTCTTATATATTCCAATAGGGTGATTACTTTTACATGGAAATTTTAATGTATGTGTTTTTTAAAATATAAACTTTTTAAACCGGTCTGTTGAATGCATGGCAACCCTAACAATCAGCTGTTAGTTTTTAATTTGGTTTCCTTGGAGTGTGCGCACACTGACTCCAATGACCAGTAAATTGTTTTTATTGAGAGTCTTACTAATTTGTCTGCGATTCTCACCCATCCTTGCAGCTAAAGATATGCTGGCGTCAATTATAAAGCCTGGTACATTTCGGCACATTATGTGCCGCAACAATGTATATCCACGCAGTAATGTAACGCGTTTCTCGGTGCCGGACGATTTGGTTTTTTGGAATGTTTCTTATGAATCGTATTGCCCGAACTGCTACACTGCCCCTCACATTGGCGGACAGATCTGGGCAGATCCACCTATACCAGACGAAGCTAAATGGAATCAGAATGACGGTGTGATAAACCGCGTTTCTTTCCACGGTGAGTATAAGATACAAAATGGCCTGCCACAAAATCCTATTGGTCGTACAGGACTTTGTGGGCGTGGCTTACTAGGACGTTGGGGTCCCAATCATGCGGCGGATCCAATAGTCACGCGCTGGAAACGTGATGATAATGGTGAAGTTGTGCGTCATAAGAACAGCGACAAGTAAGTGAAACTAGAGAACCACAGACGAAAAAATCTTTAAGCTGTTCTCTGACATGTCTTTTACAGAAGCATACTCCAGATGGTAGCCATACAGCGCTCTGACAACAAGATGTGGGCAATTCCTGGCGGTATGGTTGACCCGGGCGAGAATGTCAGCGTCACTCTGAAACGAGAATTCACCGAAGAGGCACTCAATTTCGATGATAAAGGTAACATGGTTGAAGAGTTCTTCAAGCAAAATGGAGAACATGTATACAGCGGTTATGTTGATGACTTTCGCAATACGGACAATGCGTGGATGGAGACAACAGCCCTGAATTTCCATGACGACGATGGCAGCAAAGTGGGCCAGCTGCAACTAGAAGCCGGCGACGACGCCACGAATGTGCGCTGGACAGATATAAGTGGAGATCTCAAATTACACGCTAATCACGCAGATATAGTGGGAGAAGTCGTTTCCAAGCGAAATGCACATTGGTAGACAATAAAATAGCATACTTTTATTTTAAATATAGCTATTTTTACTTTTTATTTACCTATGTCATCCTCTTATACTCTTAAACTTCTTATTTGAGTCGACATTTAGGTTGATGTATTCATGTTTCGTATATTTATTTCAGACTATTCATACATTTTTTTTCGCTTGCGCATTAACAATTTGAAAAACTGCATATTTCGCTAGGAAACCATTTTAAAATATATATAATTTTTTTTTCTTTTCTGAGTGCATTTGGAATTCATTCATAAAGCTTTGCTCTTACTTTCTAACCTTTTCAGCTAGAAAACAAGCAACTCATTTCATTTAAAAAATCAAAATAAAACTTAACTGCCCTATGTGTGTGACGGCATGTGTGTAGGTAAATTTGCATTTGTGTGCGTTTATAGAGATTGAAGGAAGTTGTAGGCCTCTTGACTGGAGTTGGCCACATTATTGAATTTGTCCGGATACTGCTCGCGTATTTCCAAAATTAAAGCACGCGCGCTCTGTTTGATATCTCCTTCGGCTATTTGATCCTTGTATAATACGTCTATGGTGATTTTAAGAATCTGTTCAAGGTAATCGACGATGGTGGGATGTGCGTGCATGTATAGAACACGAAACGCCTTGTGAACCATATCGTTCTCATCCGTATCTTCGCGTAGAGGCAAATGTGAGAGTAAAACGGGCAATACTTGCACCAATGGAACAATATTGTGATTGGTCACGATCAAACGGGAAACAGCGCCACAAATATTATCAAGAGCCGGAGCATTTTTCTCCGAAGCAATGGCACCAGAAAGAGCTTGTAAAATTACCTGAAAAGATCTACAAAAAACTCGAAAAAATATAACTAACTGAAAACATTTCGACTGAATTTTGGAACTCACTCAAAGGACTTCTCTTCGGCATACAAAACAAGCTCGCCCAGTCCAAAGTAGCAATTCTGACGGGCTTTCGGCTCCGGATCATTCACGCCATCAATAAAAATGGGGCACAGCGTATCAAAGTATGTGGCTACACAGCTACCCAGCGATTGGAAAGAGTCAGCCAATGCACCATAGACAAAGGTTCGTTGATCAGTCAAATCATTTCTCTTGGCCTTGATCTGAAAAACAAAAAATATGTTCAATCCAATTTGACATAAAATTCCCACGCGTTAATATACCAGTTTGTTCAAGTAGTACTGATACACGCGACCAAAGTACATAGAGAATATTTCAGGGCTTAAAGTCTTCCCAAAGGCAGGCAAGAGATTACCCGCGTTCTCAAGAAGCAATTCGTCAAATTCGCTGTCTTCTAGATCCTCCTCATCACCACCACCGGATGGCTCATTAAATTGGCAAGCCATTTTAGAGTTGAGAACATCCTTGATGCAAGCAAATATCAAGTCGGCGATTTCCTGAGTGGGTACGGCAGCGTTTTTCACTTCAATGAATAATTCGCTTAACATGTCGAGTAAATGAATGACGACGCCCTGTTCCTCATCGTTGCGGATCATGTGCGCGAATTTGGGCATAATAATCAAGCAAGCACGCTTAACACCCTCACTATCACCCATTTTGTAGAGTGAGGAGATAAAAGCGCAAATGGCCTCAATGGAGGACTTACGTATGTTGTCCTGTGGATGTTCAATCACCTTGTATACATTTTCAAAGGATGTTTGCAGATAGGGTGCGAAGGCGCTGCCAGTGTTGACGGCAAATTCTTTAAGTGCTAGAATTGCCTCCTCCTTTTCAAATACATAATCATTCTCCACCTGGTATCTATCCTCATCATCGTCATCCTCATCATCTGTATTATCCAAATCAATATCCTTATCAGAACAGGCCTTATCATCGGGGAACAAACTGTTAACAGGATCATCATCATCATTAGGCAGCATATCTTCTGTCGATATAACCGATTCAATAAGGCGGTCAATAATTTTGGGGAACACGGTTGACATGTCCTCGTTAACAACAATGGACAGAGCGCCCATCAAGTTATAGATGGCACGCCTAAAGTCCGGATCATTAGGCCCATCATCCAACATCATCAAGCAATAGGCCATTGTATCATTGGCTAGTGGTATGAAGTTATCTTTGCCCACGACGCGCGTAATTGAAGCCAAAGTATCAATTGCCTCGTTTCGCAACTCTTTCATCTCTTCGGTGCAATCCTTTACCAAATAATTTTTCAGTATCTCCACTATCCTGGGAAAATATGGCATCAAATGCTCCTTGGCAGCCAAAGCTGTTGCCGAGACGGCCGATAGTGCCAGCACACGAAGATGTATCGAATTGTTAGTATCCAGTGTATCGAAGAGACTGCAAGTATATAACATTAGCTAACACATTCGCTATCCGATATCAGATATTTCTTACCGACTCATCAATAGCGGCAAATGTGGCACAATGTCTTCCTCTAGATTCTGGCAGTAGGTTTCTAGAGCATAAAACATACGATCCGTGTGCTTTGGTTCCGGATTGCCTCTCTGCAAAATTGCGTGAAGAAAACATATGGACAAATCAGCAAGATTATATAGTACACTTGTGCTGCCATAAGTGCTGAGTGAGCATGCTTGAAAATTTGTGCTGTCCTTAAAACCTTGCTTCTTTGATTTATAATAATATTTACTTTTCTTAACTGTGTATATATAATTTCCTTAGAGCATTCATATAAGGTATTAAGAACAATAACAAAGTATTTGAATTTTTAAAACTATTCTACAGCATCAACTATAATATTTAGTTGCGGAAATTACACTCAATAAATAACATAAAAACAACAATAAACTATACAATATTATTCGGTTTACCGAAAAAAAGTACCCTTGCAGATATATTTTCGCTATAGCTACAGGATCAGGTAGTTTGATATTGATATGATGTTGTTGCTCACTTGTAAGACGCAAGACGTCGAAAAAAGTAACGTTTCAAACTGAGTAACAATGTATATAAACGGAATGTTATGGATACTGTTCCGAAATATTTACTGCTTATGGAATCAGATACTTTTATGCGTAAGACTTTCTATAATACAATTATAACACCCTCTGCAAGGGTATACAACATCGCTACAGCAGACAAAACATTTATACAGTAAGAAGTGAAGTGTGAAAAACAGAAAATTCGAATTGAGGAGAAAATGGCACCCTGTATTTGGTGAGAACTGATTTGCGTTTGATTTGCAGTTGATTTATGTACAGAATGGTATCTTTGCCACGCACGGAATTCGACTCGTTGCCATTGCTGTTTTGCTCAGCCTTTTTTGATGCAGCACAAACAAAATAAGATTATTATCATGTAAATAGACATGAAATTGTGGGTTCAAACAGTTTACCTTTAGCTCAATGACCAACTGCTGCAGAAAATCAAATAGTACGGGTAGTATCTGGGGCGCAAATTTCGATATCTCCGGCTGCAGATGCTCCGAGAATTGGCCCAAAGCAAAGAAACTAGCGATGCGCACAATGGGCGAGTTGTCAGCAATGCCACCCTTAACGATATTCAGCATAACTTCCAAATACTTGGAGCAAATGGCTTCCGAGCAGCCTTCGGCAATGACAGCGATACAAAGAAAGGCGGCCCGCCGACGCAGAGGATCAGGACTTTGCAATGCTGGCTCAAGCAACTGCAGTAATGGAGGAATCAACTTTTCCGGTGACATATTAATGGCCAGCAAATCGAGCGTTTGAGTTGCTGCTGTTACCGGACTGTTGCTGCTCTCACCAGTAAACAACTCATCTGACAAAGATTATACAATTTTATATAAATACATAGTTCATTAATAGGCCCTTGCTTACCATCATCCAGTTCAGTATCATAGCACATCATCTCAAATATGACAGCAATAATGGGTTCAAGTAGCTTCTGTTTGACAATTGCCTTCTTCTTGATGCGCACCACGCGTCCAATAAATGTAACCACCTGGACGCGTATGGAGTCATCGATTTGTTTATTGTTAGCCGTCTCGAGACAGAATTCCATTAGATGCTTCACATTGTTATTGAGCAACTTTGGCACATACTCGGCAATGCTATCAATGACATCGAATACAATGCAAAACTCCTGCTCATCGCCCTTCTGGGCAAAGGCAAACACGGTTTTGATGATGAGTGGCAGTATCTTTAAAACAGTCTGCTCGGCGCTTGTGTGACCACTTACAAATGGCATCAGATAGCTCATACCCATGGTTATATTAGCCACAGTGGGTGTGGCCAAATTACCTTTTGCCTCGGCGGTCATTAAAACAGCAGCAAACATTTGACAAATTGAGTCCATATGAGAGACAAATTGATCAGGTGCCGCATCGGTGAGTGTGGCAAATATGGAGGAGCCCAGCTCGCTTTCCTTGGCATCATCCAAATTGCAACGGCTATAAATGAAATTTAGCAGTTCGTTCAACCACGAGTCCTTCTTCTCCTCCTCGTGACGTACCAAGGAGCCAATAAATTGAGCTATGGCATTCTTAACACTCTTTTCCTTTTCGGCAATCAGTGCTTGGAGCATACAGGTCTTAATGCTGAAATATTAAACAATATAATCCACTCTAGATAAATCTTTATTGCTGTCTGTTGTCCTTACCTTTCTTTCTGGTCAACTGGCACCATTTGCCACAAGCGCAGCTTTTGTAGCCGCTTGTTCAGCAGCACAGCTGCGAATTGTCGCACTTGCGGCTCACGTTGTGAGACAACAATCTGGCATAGTGCCGGCAAGGTTTCCGGATTTTCGTAAGCTTTGCCCAGCTCACTGGTGGCCTAGCAACAAGAATATAGTATACCAAACATAAGAATTTCCTCATAAATTAATTAATAGCCGACATATATGTACATTTATTTGTGTGTATATGGATTTGCTAACGGCGTGTGCTGAATTATCGAACACACGCACATAGCGAGTGCACCTCACTGCTAAATACTGTATTAACAGCTTTAACACTATTGTAAAATATTTGAATGTTTATTTATGGGCGTGGCTACCACAGCATTATGAAATACTCTAAAATATTCACAATTATGGCTCTTAACTGTAATACCATACCATATACAATTCATAGCGGTAACTGTAATATCACTTCTACTGTTTGAAATACGTTTTGGAAGTTTTATTTCTACTTATGGACATTAAAGTTCTGCGTTACATTTAGTTTTATTTGTTTGATTTTATTTTTTATGAACTTTATTTTTTATTTTGCAAGCTTTATTTTAAAATGACCATTATACCTTATTTTACTGCGTAACTGGAGTATGTAAAAGCATATGTATAGGAATGTGTGCCTGTGTAGTACAGAAATGTGCACATGGTACAATGCAACTATTGTGCTCATAATTATATTCAAAATGATGGGATTTTAATATTCACATTCTGTACACGTGCAGAATTACGTATATAAATAATTTTAAAACTTAAATTAAAATTTGATGACATTTGGCAAATGAGCGCATTTTAAGGCGTCGGTGCTTTTTTGGCAATTGAAAGGATTAAAATTGATATACCGGTTGCTTACCTGACGTATCCGTTCAGTGTCGGTACACAATAATCCAGCAATGATTTTATCTAGTACAACATCCATATTTAACGCTGTTTTTAAATTAATTGGTTTCGCACAGCAAAAATCAAAGAAGCACGTATTCTATATGCCGCCGAAGCATGAACACGAAACGACTTTTGGCAATATTGCAATAATTAACGTGTGGTGAGCCAGGGCTGAAACGCACGGCAGCACCACGTTTTAAAAATAATAGGGATACAATAACTATTTAGTTATACTATATTTGTATTTGTTTAATGATTTTCACACAACGAAATTTTTGAATTTAGATACAGGATAAAATTAAACCAGCTTGCTTACTTTGTAAAACCATATTAAGCTTTCAATGTAGCACAACTTCGATAATACTTTCGAAATATCGATAAGTAAAGACAACAAATGTCAAAGTGTGCCCAGTTTGTGGCATAGCAGCAGCGTCGCGAGACACAAGCACCATTTTGAACGCCAACGTCGCGCGTTTTCTTTCTATACTTTATTATTCTGGATATTGTGTTGTTATAATTGTGTATTAAATGGATAAATCTGCTAAAAACCATAGCGGCAGCAGTCAGAGAGATAGCTGTTCTTTAGGTATATTAAGTATGGACAATCTCAGAGGTAAATGTATAAATTGTGTACGAGACCTTGCGTCTTCGCTAATAGCATAATTTCAATGTCTATGTATTCTTATATCTATAGTTTTTGGGGATATGTCAAACTTAAGCAACGCAAGCAGAGAATCATCAAATGTTCACGAGCGGCTAAAGGTAAGATCAATAATATAAATAATAATCAATTAAAACGCACACTTTGATTAATTATAGACGGGAAGGCTTAAGGCTTTGGAAACTTTGGGAAAGCCACGTCCACGCTGTGGATATGCATTTGAAGAACATGATGATAAGGAAAGAAGCAAGCTTAAACGTGAGAAGAGGCTTTTATTAATAGAATTCATGTAATATAAATATCATTTTGTAGCCGACAATCGTGTGAGTTTTGCAACCAGCCGAAAAAACAACACCACAAACATCTCCGATCTAATCACTGAAGAAACCATTGACCTGAATTCAAGTGGCTCCATTCTGATGGAAACGGCTGCTCCAGTGGGCACAAATATATTCTTTGAGCCGGACGAGATAACCGGGCGTTCGACATTATGCAAAAGCGGCAAGAATGACTCAAAACCTGGTATTCAAATCTCTGTGGCAGATATACTAAGATCCTCGTTTGTAGACAAAGCGCGCGTACAATTTGCACAGCAGCTGGAGAACGGGCCGATTACTGAAAGTTCGAGCAATAGCACTTTGAGTGATTCATTTAGTTGTTCTCGCAGCTTGCCACGCACTGCAGATATGAGCAGTTCAAGCCTTAACGGTGGCTCTGGCATTTCCTTTGGCCTTACAGCTGGTCAGGGTTATAATGAGAGCTTTGCTCCGGCTGAGATGATGCAGTCACAGTTAGTAATGGGCGAAATATCGTGGGCGCAGGAATTTGCCGATGTCCCAACGGCCACCCTCAGCAAGCAAGCATTGCAAAAAATTGCAGCGCCATCCTCCCCATTAGAAATTGATAACTTAGTTTCCAAGTAAGTTAAAAAATATATTTGTAAGTAAATATAACCCACAATTTCATTTTGCAGCTCAATCATTGCTGGAGATCCCAATTTTTCGTTAGGCAATTACTTTCAAATGCGCTCAGAAAATTTATCATTCATTGTGGGTCGATCTAGCCGAGGCGGGGATCGCCAAGCTGATCAGAAAAATACAACGGTAAGCAGCGCAGGTGAGAAAACGCCACAAGTGGATAATAAAACTTATACAAAGCTCGAAAGCAACGCCAAGGTCGAACGCAATCTGATGAAGAAAATGCAACATGATCATTTTAACAAGGCATTGCAAGCCGAAACAAAGAAAAAGCCAACTACCTCGGAATTATTCAGCTTGTCAGCCATTGATGCTGCCTTGCGTAAGTTTAATAGGAATAATGTTGTAACTTATCTAACGAAACCCATATTTTACAGGCAATTTGGACGTGAATTCAGATACTTCTGTAGGTGAGGTTGTCAATAGGCTGCGTGCACGTAACCATGACCTCGAACTTGATGATGAGGATAAAGAGAATACGTTGTGCAAATCTACATCCGTATCAAAGTTTGCAGACACCATGAGCTTTACAGATTCGCTATTGAATTCAAGTGACTTTCAGCAGTTGCAAAAAAGCATGGACTCAACAACGAAACGACAGCCGTTAAGTCCGCTGGCGGACTATATGCCAAGCCAACCTATTATACTTATAAACGCTAGCGAAGGTCATGACGCAGACATAGATGAATGGCCATCGTCACCAGTGAAGTCACCTGGACGTCGTGTGCGCCACACAAAATCTCCGAACAATAACCGAAGCTTGAGCCCTACAAGAAGCGATGGCCTTAAACCACTAGCCACCACGGATGAGGATACTGATGTAGATGAGAATAAGACGCCGCTCAGAAAAACACGCAATAATACTCTTCCTGTTGTACGCACTCAAAATTCGTTCTGTTCCACACGTGTCGATAGCTGCGATGCAGTCCCATCTTCATCCCAATGTGATTTTGGCATTTCCCCAAATCTGGCTCAGAGTGTTTCCGTTTCCAATTTGCAACACGTATCGCCTTTATCGTCGCCTCGCAGCTGCTTGTCTTCGCCGCTTCTGGACAGCACAACGAGCTCGGAACGTCGTCTTTTAGCCGGTTCTAGCTTAGCACGCAGAGTTAATACTTCTCCAGCACCCAGCGACGCAAGCTCCACAAGTGGATTTAATGCAATGCGAAAAGTGGGCAGTGGTACACAGGTGAGTGTAGCACCACGATGTATTTCGAGTTGCTCCAACTCGAGTGAGTTCAGTCATCGCGACGGAAAATTGCTGCCCTTGAAGGTCACCCACACAAGTCTCTGCTGGGGCAGCACGAAGCTTCGTACAGATGTGCGCAAATCCATGCAAATCAAAAATACAAGCGACAAACGGCTCGTGGTTCGCCTGTGCATACAAGGACCTGGCTTTCAGTTGGTTAGCGGTGATAGCAATGCCATCACATTACAGTCCATGGAATGCCGAAGCATTGGCATTAACTTTTGTCCGACGGTCAGTGGCGCAGCCATTGGAGCGCTCAAGTTCTATGCGCCTTTTGGTGCCAACAATTGCCAGCAGCCAGGCTTGGAAATTCCTCTATATGGTTACGGAGGGAATGCCTCAATTACTATACAAGGGTTACTAAAAGGACCTGTTGGTGCCAGCTTCCTAACCATAGGCAATGTATGCGAGCTGGCTTCGGGTGCTCTGATGGCTAGCTTTAAGTTTTACAACAAGGGACCGCTTACAGCCTTTGCTGGCATCACAATCGATTCAACGGTGTTCTTGAAGCCACGTCTCAATGCCGCCTTTGAGGTGCGTCCCAACAAAGTTATACTTCCTCCTCACAGTGAGGCTATGGTACAGATTGTATTCCGACCCAATCGTGAGGATATCAAAAACATTCTGAAAAAGGCTTCGTCGGTCCTCACATTGGCCAACATGCGGGTATTTTGTGGTGATGAACCAAATCGACAGCGTATGCGAGCCTTAGTACATCGTATGACGAGCGAACAGCGGGAGCAATATACCTCGTCCATGCTGGACAACATAGTGTGCAGCTTTCCCAGTGAACGGCCCATACGTAGCCTAGCCATGCTAAACGAGCCTCCAGAGTTTATACTTGATCTGGTAACCGTGGTTCGGATTATTGATGTGGCATTAACTTTAAATCGAGACTTGGATGAGTCTGCTGAAACTTCACATCTTTGTTTGTCGGACGCCGATGAGACTATTCTGTTTCGCACTGTTTGTGCAGCCAATTCCCCTACGCCAAGCTATAATCTGGATCCCGTTGACGAGTTGCACGAGGCAGATACGACTTCAGCCATGGAACAGCAATCACTGGAACGCAACTGGTCTGTGCAACCTACGTTGATTGAGATTGATTTGTCCAACAGCAGCGGCTTAGACGGAATTAAGTTATTCATCAAGAACAGATTCAGCTCTCGTCAATATATTGAATTGAATTGTAATGTTCCAGACATTCTACACATTTCTCCCAGTGAATGCTATGTGGCCCCTGATGGTGGTCATGTGGAAGTTCTGGTACGGCCATTGCGCACACCGAAACGTGAAGTACTTAACAAACAAATGCAAGTCCTTGTCGAGGTGTCCATGGGAAGTGAGCGTACTAATGTGCCCGTTACTTTTAAAGTCTAAATTTATATAAGTGCATTTATCCTTTACAGCCATGGTTTGAATTGTGTTAGTTTTTAATTGTGATATATATTGTATTTTTAATTATTTTCCTGTGTCATTCGTGTATTCAAATAGATAACGGTTCGTTAAATGAACAATATAATTTTTTAAGCATTAAATCTCCTGTCAAGAATGTATGACGCACTGGGCACACTTTTCGCACCAATGAATACAAATGTTTAAAGATGCCCGTTACTTATTTTAAATTTATACTTGATCCATTTATGTTAAATTATGCTAGTTAAGATTTAATTTCCATTTTCATTGTATTGTTTTACTTTTTCGTTCATTAATAAACCGAACCCACAGTCAAGTTTCCATTTATTTTTCTAAAAGATTTAAATTGTTGCTGAAAAGTATGACATATAAGCGTAAAACAGCTGATGCTATCGTTTGGTATATTTATCGTATATTGTGCTGGTTACACTGATCGCATCAACAAGAACTTTCTGCTGCATTTTAGTTTTTAATTTATTAAAAACTAATATAATTATTTGGGCCTGAAATAAAATTCTTATTATTTATTGCCATAAGTCGATAGCATGCCTTCCTATGAATTGGCGCTTGTTCTGAGGCAACTTCCACGGGTTTGTATGCAAAAAACGAATGCACCGGTTATGTAAAGTAAATAAATGTGGTTTTTTTTAGCCGGAGTTAATTTCAGTCATCAAGCGGACAGCTGAAGCAATCTTCGATAAAGGCGGTATAATTCGAAAGTTCGAAAATCTTGGCACACGTGCCCTGCCCTACAAAGTGAGCGAGCACGGTGTTATACACCGAGAAGCAACCCACTTTACGATTACTTTCGATTCGGCACCCACAAAATTGTCAGATTTAAAGGAGGAATTCGGTAGAGATATCGATATCATACGCAGACACATCTTCAAATTGGAAGAGCCAGAGGAACACAAGTGCACATTGCATGATGAAATGCTGCCACCCTCTTACCGCAAAGATGTGCAGGAAATAATTGATATAGCAAAGAGAAAACAAAAACCTAAGTACAACTACAACTCAGGATTAGATTATTATCCTTTCCAAAAGTAGACTCTATAACCTTTAAATAAAACCCATGATAAATTGCTAAAAACATTTGTCTACATTGTGATGTTTCTAATTCTAAAACATTATGAAGTACTTGTTGAAATATTTATTTTATCAACCAAGTTCACAGTGTCCGTTTATATTGGTTTTATTGCACACAATTAGTGTTATCAGAAGTTGATAAACAGGCATAATCAAATCAGCTATATATTATAGCGTATACGAACTTATTAATAGTCACCGTTCAATATTCAATCGTTGAGGCAGACAAGGAATTAACATGGCACCTCAAATTCGACCAATTTCTGCGGAGCTGCAAGCGGTGGCCAAGGAGCGACTGAACGAGGATCCTGATCGCATTGAAGCAGATCTCGAGACATTGAAGACTTGGATACGACAACAGCCACATCTCAATCCACGCACAGACGATCAATTCCTAGTGGGCTTTCTAAGAGGCTGTAAGTACAGTCTGGAGAAGACAAAATCGAAATTGGATAAATTTTATACGTTGCGTACAAAATATCCAGAATTATTTAGTGTAACTGATATTGACGATCCCTTGTTACGAGAAATTCACCGATTAGGGTAAGCTGACTATAACTTAACATGAAGGTCATTTGATAAAACGTAATCTATCATTAATAGACCCATTGTCTACTTACCCAATACATTGAACGGAGCACGGATAGGCATATTTAGACTAGGTGTTGCACCTGCTGAAAAATATAAGATAACAGATGTAATGCACGTTGGCCAAGTAATGCAAGAAATTGCCCTTCTGGAAGATGACGAAGCTATAATAAACGGAATAATACTTATTATGGATATGAGTGGAGCAACTGCATCGCACTTATTCCAAATGACTCCCGGTCTAGCGAAAAAAATGACTGTCTTTAATGAGGAGGCATTTCCTATGCGGCCCAAGGCTCAGCATTTTGTGAATACGATTTCTGGCTTTGAAACCATCTTTAACATGGTTAAGCCCATGATGTCCAAAAAGCAACAGGAAAGACTCTTTATGCATAGCAAGATAGATTCACTTTTGGAACATATTCCTTTGAAATATCTACCCAAGGAATATGGTGGCGAAAATGGTTCCATAGATGAGAGCATAGAGGAGTGGCAAAAGAGATTTGACCAATATAGAGATTATTTTAAGGAAAATGCTCAATTTGGCACCGATGAAAAACTGCGTCCAGGAAATCCAATAGATTTTGATGGCCTTTACGGCACAGAGGGTTCCTTTAGAAAACTAAATGTTGATTAAGAATTAACATTTTCTTAATACGTTTCAATTGGTAAATATACAAAGAGATATACGTTTTATACAACAATAAAAGGAAACAAATTTTTAACAAGAGTATTTATTAAAATACATCGATATATATATATATATATCGATAATGTCGTGGGATAATTGACAGCTATAGCCCATGTGACTTTGACGTATGGAAAAAAACAGTGTTTTACGTTTTATTGCAGACAACATTGATGATAACAGTAGTAACTCTGCAGTATACTTTTCGGCAGTAATATTATGTTAAACACGAATTGTTTTCGCGTAAATAATCGATCTACAGAATAATTTAATGTTTTTTAATAACACGGGGAACTCTACCGCTACTATTCACATTAATCTTTTATTTTAAAATACTTTATACAGTCAAAATTCGGGTATCATTGTGTTCGCAATGTTACTAACAGTGTTATGTTAATGTTAAAGTCCCGAATCTGTAAACTAACATCCCTGTGTGTCACGACGTATGTGTGACTTGACGTATGGAAAAAGTGTATCACATAACTCTGTCGTAGTTGTATTTTTTTTATTAATTAGGACGTACATTTTTCTAAATTAGTGGCGTGCAACTGGCTAAAAGCAGTTGTGAATGCCAGCAGATACGTTGGAGTTAACGAAATAATCAACACACATTGTGTTAAATCGATATCTATATATACATATGTGTGCGTAACGAGTATACGATAATTGTGAGCACGCGTTTTGTAGAGTATTTTGCGTTGCAAAGATGCATTCGCTTAATTGGACATCGCGTCTAATATCTCGAGCCTTACGTAGCAGCTTCTCAACGCTTCTTGACTCCGCGTCGGGTGCCACAACCAAAGGTGCTGCAAAGACAACGCCAATTCGATCTCGGCCACGATTTGTTTCGGTGGTTTGTGGCTTCGCCAAGGACAATCTGCGACACAAATATAAGCCTGGCAAATACGGCGAAGACTCCTGGTTTAAGGCATCCACAGAGTCGGCCGATGTAATGGGCGTGGCCGATGGTGTTGGAGGCTGGCGAAGCTACGGCATCGATCCGGGGGAGTTCTCGTCATTTCTCATGCGTACGTGCGAACGGCTCGTGCGCTGCACCCATTTTAATCCTCAACGTCCCGTCAACCTGCTTGCCTACAGCTACTGCGAGTTAATGGAACAAAAGAAACCAATACTAGGCAGCAGTACAGCATGTGTGCTAATACTGAATCGAGAGACAAGCACGGTGCATACAGCGAATATCGGAGACAGTGGTTTTATGGTAGTCCGAGAAGGCGAGATAGTGCATAAGTCAGAGGAGCAACAGCACTACTTTAATACGCCCTTCCAGCTATCCCTACCCCCGCCAGGCCATGGGCCCAATGTGCTCAGCGATAGTCCCGAATCGGCGGACACAATGAGCTTTCCCGTGCAAGAGGGTGATGTCATACTGATTGCCACTGACGGTGTTTTTGACAATGTGCCCGAAGAACTGATGCTGCAAGTACTGCGCGACGTAGAGGGTGAACGCGATCCGGTCAAGCTGCAAATGACAGCGAATACTTTGGCGCTGATGGCTCGCACCCTCTCCCAAAATAGCGATTTCCTTTCGCCCTTTGCCATCAGCGCTCGTCGCAACAATATTCAAGCGCGCGGCGGGAAGCCAGATGACATAACCGTGGTGCTCGCCACAGTGGCAATGTGAACCACCTCATTGTTGTCCTAATCCCTAGTTCTTAAATGTGTAATTAATTGTAGATTGTACTCGTTTAGTTTTTAGGAGTCAGTTTGTTCCGGTAGTTATATCCATATATATGTTTAAGCTGCATGTTGAGATTGTGAGGACAGACACTCAATTGTTAGCTACCCAAACCCATACACACTCACATAAATACAAACACTTACTAATCGACGCATCCTGGTGAGGCGATCCCAAAAAAATAATCGAAGTCCAAAGCGCGTAATCAATGCCTTGAACTATATATATATATTAATAAATATATAAACATTATGTATAAGTAGAAACGCTTTTAAAACGAAAAAAATTATCAGCCGAACTGATCGTTGTCGTCAATGGCAGCGAGTTACGAGAGAGTTCTAATCAATAATAAAATGCGACATACATTACATGCATACAAAAAAACAAACAATATGAATTACATACATACACACATACATATATACCCCCCGCACTCCCAATCAATTAAAAGTTGTGGGATGCTATGCTAATATTTGAACTGAGGATTTATCCAGGCAAACTGTCTGACGGACGAACTGTTAGTCAAATGTACTCACTGATATTGCGATTTAATAAAAAAAATATTCATGAAAAAAAAAATAAAAAATGTGTGATTACTAATCTCTTTTATAGAAGGCGCAAAGGTCATTTAAACCTTAAAAGCGCTCTTGGATATGGTTTCATTAATTATTTCTGCTATATCTGCAGTTACTGGAAGTATACTCACTTCACCAGCAATCGCTATGCGAGTCCATTCCTTATACTGCGCAGTCCCGCACAACGCCGATATCGTGAGCGAAACGCACATCTCTAACTTCTTACGCCAGCTGTTACCCATAACTCAACGTTTACCAACACTTGACTACGAATAGCACCACAACAAAAGCCAAAAAACAACCAAGAACCGTAACGAAGAACGGTTTTCAGTGCAAATGGAGCCGTAAAATAAACAAAATCAACATAAAATGAAACTCTACAAATTAAACACGCATACGCGGGGGTGCAATAAGTCATACGGTAAGTGGACCAAAGAAAGCTGATGTCAATAAATGCTTTTAATGTGCATTTGTGCAGAATCGGACTTGGTATTAAATCCACAGGATCATCCAACAGCTAAAGTTGGAGATGTGGTGGAAATATATGCACCTGACGATGAGAACGGCACGCATTTGCTGCTGCAGATAACTGAGCTGAATGAACAGAGTAAAACGGGTCGCAATGTGATAAGCATAGAATCGGGCATTGCGACAGCATTTAAGATGCGCTCCTATTCCAACGTTGTAATGCGTATTGTGAATCCCGCGAACGTTGCTCTCGACTCGATAGAGATTACATTTAAGGAGCAGTACATGGGCCGCTCTGAGATGTGGCGACTAAAAACTTATCTGGTGAGTTCTGTCTATCACTAAAGACAAGCCCAAGTAAATATAACCCTTTCTTTCTGCTTGCAGACAAATACCTGCGTGTATGCGAATAAAAAGATTGACTACAATGATATGCAGATACGTTGCCAAGTTTATGAGATGTGGTCGCAGGGGGAACGTGTGGCTAGTGGCGTTATTACAGACGATACCAAGATTGTGTTTCGCAGCAGCACCTCGATGGTCTATCTCTTTCTGCAAATGTCTTCGGAAATGTGGGACTTTGATATACACGGCGATTTGTACTTTGAGAAGGCTGTCAATGGTTTCCTCACCGAGCTCTTTCAAAAGTGGAAGAAGCTCAGCTGCAATCATGAGGTGACCATAGTGCTTTTTTCTCGCACCTTCTATGCTGCCAAGTCATTGGATGAGTTTCCTGCGCACATGCGGGATTGCTTGCAACAAGACTATAAGGGACGTTACTATGAGGACTTTTATCGGGTGGCTATACAGAACGAGCGCAATGATGATTGGTGTACGGTGTTGGCGCAGCTGCGCAAGCTGTTCACTTCCTACCAGGAGACTGTGCTGCGCTATCATGAACGTCAGCATATGGTTATACCACAAGCGACCAACTCAACTGCCACACAAGGCAACTTCCTTGAAGTACTTAACATTTCATTGAATACTTTTGAGAAGCATTACCTAGATCGCACTTTTGATCGTACGGGTCAACTCTCTGTTGTGATAACACCCGGTGTGGGCGTCTTCTCTGTGGATCGAGAGCTGACGAACATTACCAAGCAGCGCATCATTGATAATGGCGTTGGCAGCGATCTCGTTTGTGTTGGCGAGCAACCCCTGCACGCTGTGCCGTTGCTCAAGTTCCACAATAAGGACACGTCCATAACATCGGCTGATGACTACTCATTGCCGCATTGGATTAACCTAAGCTTCTACTCGACTAACAAAAAGATTGCCTATTCTAGTTTTATACCACGCATCAAGCTTCCTTTTTTATCGGCAGTCGAAGAAGGCGATGTGGAAGAGAACGAGCGCAATTTCCTTAGTTGCAATCAATCGGAATATATTCACAACTCTTTGTTTGATTATGATGCATACGATGAGCAAATCTTTCAGCCACTGCCAGCGCAGAGCACATGGTGAGATTGAAAACTGTCTATGTAATTCCTTTTCATTTAACTGTTCCTTGACAGTTCACTGCAGCGCATTGTGCGTGCCAAGAAGACATCGGTACCCAGCTTTGAAACATATGCGTATCGTAACAATGACTGGGAAAACTTAACGCCCACTAAGATACCCAGTTTACGCCGGAAAATGTCCGATCCGGATATACATCATGGCACTTCCGGCATGCTGGCCACATTGACAGACACCGCCAACAACTTATCCGAGTCCCTGGCCTCGGAGAAGAATGCGAGACGCACGATTGTGAGCATCGCTCCAATTGTGCGTCCTGGTCGTGCATTAATCAATCCCTTTGATCCATCCCATGTGACCATAAAATTGACTTCTAATCGACGTCGATGGACGCATATCTTTCCCAAGGGACCGACAGGCGTGCTTATACAGCAGCATCATTATCAAGCGGTACCAGCCAAGGCATTGCCTGCTGTCAACTACAATCGACAGTTGCAGCACTCCAACAGCAGCAGCAACAATAATACCAATAATAATAATAATAACAACGAACAGGAGTTAAACTCAGTTGTTGGAGAGCATTTTGATGAGCTGTCCACTCACTCGCTGTTGAGCCAGAGCAAGTGCTATAACTCGCACAATGAGGAGAAATCTGATTGTATGTACATTTTAAGATACATATGCAGATCATTAACTGAGTCCTGTGCACTGTCCTTTACAGTTTTCAAGCGTCGCAATCCGTCGCTGTTGAATGCCGCGCCCGCTGCCAATGTACCCAACCTGACGGCCACACAGGCGAAGTCCTTTTTGTGGGGTGCCACTGGGGAGCAGGAATGGACGCCAGCAATTACTACGGGTATGTTTGTTTAACTTATTTATTTTGCTACTAATTCAACTGTCATATGGGGTTTGCTGAAAGATATTATCGCTTGGGTGGGTAAGCAAGTACAGCAGCATTCAGTTGCAGTTCGATTTGTGCAGAATGTTGGAAATGTTGCTGCTGTTGCAGCTGGCTATCAATGGCACGCAATTGGCACCGTTCTTGGATCGTATAGGACGCGACAATCAGCTGCAAAGCATCTGCCTTGTGCACAGCTCGGTTGCAACTAAACCAGAGTTTTTGGATGTATTGCAATTTGAACTGCATTTGGAACAGAACCATTTCAATTTGCTGCCACAAATCATATCAACAGAACTTTCAGACTGGCAATTCAACAGTCTGACGGATCAACAAACTGTCTTTGTGATCCTTGCCACAAATACTACAGATCCGATCATCGAGCTGCATTCGGAGCGTGCACGCGACCGTCGTTTTTGCAAGACTTTCTTTCTCCTGCGCCAGGACGAAGGAGCAAGAAACTTAAGAACCTTTTTTGAATACTTATGGCTTAAAGGTTTTCGATCTGCTTTGGTTATGGTGGCCAAGCAACGTCTCTATCACATGGATCCCTACCCCACTTTGCGTGTGCTCCAAGTGAGCTTAACTGAGAACGAGCGTTTAATATTCCCGTCGACTAAGCGGACCGATTTTATGGGCTACGCGCTGCGCGTGCCTGTACAACTGGATGTACCATCCACCTTTTGGTTTGCAAGCAATGATACTGGCACACGTAAGCTGCAGTTAGATGGATCTGGCGGTACTTTGATACGTGAATTGATGCAACATCTGAATGTGTGCCTGGAGGTCTATCCACTGATCATCAATGGCTCTAATAATATTAATATGGCCGCTCTTGTGCAGCTCGTGGCGGAGCATCGCATCGAACTGAGTCCCCATCAGTCTACGACACTGCAGCGATCCAAGAAGGTGGACTACTCTTATCCGTATGCCGTGGTGCCCCGTTGCTTCATGCTGCCACTTCATGCGCCCTTTCCACACGGTCTGTACGTGATAAAGCCCTTTCAACCGTTTGTATGGTTGAGCCTCATCATGATGGTGCCCATCAAGATCCTGCTGCGATATTTGATGCGACATTGTATTTGGCATTTTAACTTGAATTTGTGGTCGATGCTTGGCGTGCCGGGTAGCCAAATGGGTAGCAATGCCCACAAATTGCTATATTCACCTCTATACTGGCCATGTCGACTGCTCATCTGTGTCACATTGGTCTTCAGTGCCTTCATCATTGTACAGCTTTATGTAACCAAGTTGACCTCGTTGCTGACTGTGTTACTAACTACGAACCCAAGGATGACAATTTTGGAGTTCCTCCAGTTGCCTTACCCCATTGTGGTGCTGCCGAGTGATGTGGACGCGATTCTCGCATCCTATGGCAATAGTTCGCAAGTGAGACGCCACTTTTATTTTCTGAATGAAATTGACTTTTATAATCAGCGCGTGGAGATGCAGGATGGCTATATTTATCCAATTAGTACGCTACGGTGGAAATTCTTGAGCATGCAGCAAAGATACTTAAAGCAAAAGCGTTTCTGGCTTTCTCCATTCTGCTATGGCACCTTCCCAAACCAGTTTCAGCTTCGAATTGGGTCGCATTTCAAGGAGGCGCTGCATCATTTCGAGCTCCATGTCCAGGAGGCGGGCTTGCAGGACAAATGGCGTAGCCTTTACTACAGCCGTGCCAAGCAGTTGGGTTTTGTGCGCGACTTTGCCAACCTTGAGTATTATGAACTTATGCAGAAAGTGCGTCCTTTGTCACTCAATCTGATCTCGTCCGTGTTTTATCTATATTTATTTGGGATATTCGTTGCTCTACTCGCCTTCCTCCTCGAATTTGTTATGTAAATGTAGAAATACTACCACTGACTGCATTTTTTATTTCGATTTTAAGGCATTTCGTGTAATTCTCAACTAATTAACTTATGTATTTTGGATATATCTTTCATTTCTTAACACATTTGATACCGACGAAAATTCAACCAAAATTTGATTACACTTAACCATATATTTATGTATTTATATATTTATATATATATATATATATATATATATATATATATATATATATATACATAATATACATATATGTGTATATGTATTTGATGGCCAATTCACAATTCCCGCTACTCCACCAACACATAAATAATAAATATAAACTTGCGGCAACAAACGACAATTTGAATATACAAAACAAACCCCGATTGGATATAAATCAAACTTAATCTTAATTATCGACATTCACAATAACATCGAACCTATCGACATCGACAACTCATCGACGAATCGTAACGGTTTTGTAGAAAATGGCATTGCTCTACATAATGGGAATGCAACGGGCAAACACATGAAAGCAATTGTCGAAAGCGAACATAAAAATTATGGAACATCACGGCTTGAGGCTACGAGCGAGGCAGTCGGCAAAGGAAAAATCATCATAGGTTTGGCAATACAAAAAATAATCATAATTTTGTACAAAGCAATGCATCCCACACAAACACACACATATATACCTACACACACACACATACATACATGCACCTTGTCCACAGTAGTTTTCTAGACATAGAATAATGTAGTTAACTTTGTTTAATTGTGTAGAGTTCGCACATAATCTTGACTGTAGCACCATGTAGTTAAACGTTGTATATGTAGTGTGTATGTGGTCGTTTTAACGTAGTTATCGATACACAAAAAAAAACAATTCAAATAAGAACTATTCTTACGAAACTTAACGAAGCTATCGACAAAAAAAAGCCTATCTAGAAATTGACTTATTGACAACTGATTGAAATTGTTATGCAATGTATCAATATTCAAAATTTCCATTTTATAATAATGGACATATATAAATATATACAGTTCACCTATATAGATTGATCAAATTTTAGTATATATTTTTTTATATACAAAAATGAAAAATAACTAGCGAAGCTACAAATTCAATTAAATTTCAAACTAATATTAAATGCATAGAACATTTTCAATTATGTAAAGCTGAAAATCAATGTCTTTTAGACTTACTAAAATTCCATTCTTTATTAAGGATTCAATTTTTGTTGCAAATATCGATTCATATAAATTTAAGGCAAGAAACGCGTTAATTAGAATACCTTAAATCTAAAGCTTATAAACTGGTGTTAAACTATTGTCCTTCTGATTGAACGTGAAATTGATAAGCATTAGCTCGTATAGGCTGTATATATAGCTTAAGCGTAAATGCAACGTTTCCACTGACAACACATCATTTTAGCTAAACATTTGGTTAATGCATTTCATTGCGCCTCACTCACCACCTACCTACCACCCACCCTATGCACATCTATTCACACAATCTGAACAAGGTGCTGGGGGTGTTGTGCTATTATTATATCTTCAGCCTGAAGCATGTGGCATGAGATGCAAAAATGTTTTCTTCAACTATTTTTTTTTTGTTATTTGTAGTGATCGCATGCTTTTCAGCCACGCCCACTGATCATTGCACGCACACACCTGCCTCTTAATTATTGTTGACCACCAATCCTAAAAACCCGAAATTAATCTATTAAAAAACATTTGAAGCTGGTCTTAATTTTCGTATACTTGGAGCAACTGGTCTTTTAAATATATAGAGCTTAAGCGATTTGAAATTTGTGTAACTATTATAATCATCTACATATATATATTTATATATGTATATATACATATATATATATATATATATATATATATATATATATTTCTATATCGTATTTCGTATCGGCGTTGGCTTTTTCTATTTGCGTACCTTTCTTGAACACCTTTGCCCAATTGCACGCTGCGGCGTTTTCTGCTTGGTTTTTGTTAGTTTCTTTTTTATCACGTTTGCCGCTTTCAGGCGTCGACTGGAAATCTCTATCCATACCCGCCTGCCTGCCGATAACCACGGATTACTTTCCCGATAAGCGTTCGCTGCACAATGACTATGTCATCTCCGATTATACACTGCTGCCGGATGATGTGAATCTGGATTATGCTAAGAGTCGTGCTGTCTATCGCAAACCCTTGTCCACGGAAGAGGTGTGTAAAGAGATTGTGTCACAGCGCTTGGCCCAGGGCTTTCAACTGATTGTCGTCGAGGAGAAACAGCCAAGCTCCAACAGCTGCTGCTCCGCGAATGGCAGCTGTGCTGGTCCAGGTAGCAATCTTGGCTCATCCGCTGTATTGCCCGTAAAACCGCCGTGCGAGCCGAACAGGGAGTATCTATTATCCATAGGACGCATATTTCACAAGATCTCTCTAAGTGGGTCAGTTATTACAGTAACTGGCTATAAGCCCAGGTGGGATTTTGAGTAGTTTGTATCTTCAATATGCTGACACCACACTTTTTTGCTCTTCATAGGCATCCCTATCCGCCCATTAATGTTGATTATCGCTATCGTTTCCATGCGCCACAGCATGAGACCTATGAAATTTCTGGCGTTAACTTTACCACTGAGAAACTGGAGAACTTTAATTGGAACCATATGGATTTATACATATGCACGCGAGGCGATGTTGATTATCCGCTAATGGAGGTGAGCATGCTGATCCATAAGCCACCATTTACTTCCTCTTCTTGCCTTTGCAGAGCCTCAAGTACTGGCGCTTTCGCATGTATCTGTTGCCAAAGGATACCGTGGTCAATAAGATCGTCAACTGCGGCTCTCAGCGTTGCGACATCTTTACTGATGCGGTTCTGGACAATACCCGTGATCAAATCGAGGACTTTGTGCGACTCATCGAGAATGTCAGCAAATTGAGACGACAAATATGTCGCAAGGCGCGCGTAAGCTGGCTACGATATTACACCTAATCTCAAATTTGTTTAGTTTGTTATTGTTCTTCATTGATTTACATTTAGCTGCAATACTTATTGATCGTTTATCGACATCTAGTTCCAGTTCCAGTTGCAGCTCTAACACTTTCAGTGTGTTTACCGCACTGTGTTTTGTCCCTCACATTAATTTCTGTTTATTGTAAATGTAGTGCTTACTGCTTAACCAAATGTCCAATTGCAGGATAGCCCCACTACCCACAGCTTTACTAAGCGACGACACAGTACCAGCATTATTTCCAGGCCTCTCAACCAGGTTATCTATCCACTTTACCAATCTAACTGAATATACATACATATATATTTAACTGTGATTTGCTTTCTTTTTTCGCGCTGCGCACATTTTGTTTGTCATTTTGATTTGCGCACGCTTTGATTTTCATCAAGTTTGAAGTTTTTACTTAAAGTACGTTGCCCATATCTTGTTTCTAATATTATTTAACTTGTCTTCCGTCTCGCCTGTGCCCCGCCCCTTCAATGCCAACCTCTCTGTCTGTGTATCCTGCGCAACTGCAACACTCCCGTCTTCGCAGGGACTCACGAATTCGCCGTTCCGTGAGCGCGTCGGCAGCAATCGTTTGCCAGAGAAGAGACCCAGGTTTTTATATCGTATCCAAAGAAAAAAAAACAAACAAAAACATTCACACACACACACACACACACACACTTTGATTTGCATCTGTATATGTATTACTGCGCTTGCGGAGCTGAGCTATATTGTAACGCCCCTACCACCTCCACTGCCCCTAAAACAATTTGGTGATAGACTATTGTAGCTCTTCTATGTTGTTTGTACACTTAGCTTGCAGTGTATTTTAATTATTTATGTATATGAATATGTATATATACATATATATTTTACTTGCAATTTAATACCATCTTTTTGTTTTATATTTCTTATTACTATTTTATTTGGTATTTGGCTTTCAGCAGCATGATACACCCACACCTAGAATCACAGAAAAGAATCATAATCTATTAAATTCACCACAGCAAAGGTTTGTGCCAATCAAGCGTATTTATCGTACTAGCCTTACCTAATTGCATCCTGTTCCCAATATACCCAAATCCCCACACTATATTGATTTGCTACGAGCCGAACCAAATGAGAATGGGAGAGACAGCTGAAAACTTCATTTGTAATTTTGCACACTTTCCGGCATTTCCATACACACATGCATCATCCGCCTAAATTTAACAGACTTATAATGGGTGTGGTGAATATTAAATGAGTGAGAGTAACCAAAGGCACATTATTTTGCGTTGCTCTACTGACAAATATAACACCTACGAACTCACCACACCTTTTAATTGGTAAATTTCATTGACTGAGCTGCACTTGTAATTCGCACACTCTCGCACAAACACGCACATTCACTGCCTATCCTCCCACCAACCAATCCACGGCAAGGGTCACGGTGTGCTTGCAGCTTCGCCAGCTTTACTTATACTAATTCTTAATTCGTAGCATCAATGTTCGACCCAAGGTGGAGCCTGGTCGCATTTCGCGAAATCTGGGCGGCACAGATGCAGCCACAGCCGCTGCCACTGCAGCTACAACCGGAACTGGGCCACGCGATGATCAGGATGATGGGTATGCAGCCAATTAGAAAAAGAATTATCTTTTACAACAAATTGCTTTTATCACAGCTTTCCAGTGGATATAAAGTTTAGCGCGAATGCAACGCTGGCCGAGATGTTCGAGGCCATGAAGCATCCGGTGAATGGCGTTGGCTTCTTTACCCAAACCCAATCGTTGCCCTCCTGCACTTTTATCTCATACGATGCGCTGATGTGGTTAAAAGCGCGAGTGACCAATGGCCGGCATCCTATGGATCTGCTGGAAGCCATGCGCAAGTGAGTGGAAAGATTTAATCAGTTGCGCAGTTTAATCAAGTTATGTTTTGCAGAGAGCGCATGATTTGCCACGCCTCCGGCGATTGGGATCAGCCCATTGTGCCAGGTTTTGTATTTTACTATGTGGTGCAACAGGATGCGAATGCTAAAGGTGACCTGGGCAGATAAGAAAAAGCTTGTATTGGTCTCATATGCGTTGTTTCTATAGATTATGCCAAGCCTCTTAACGACTACAGCGCCTTTGTCAACGAGTGGCTGGAGATCGAGCTGCAGGGCTGCAACTTTTTGTGGCACGATGAGCCGTCACCTACACATGTTCCCAACTTTTTGCGCGATACACCAGCACCTCAATCCTGGACAGCCTACTGCAAGAGCAGTTAGTAAACAGCTTGCATTTCCATATATAACTTTTTCAGATTTGTATTGTATTCAATTTGTTTGCTTGTAGAGCGTGTTTGTCGCAAATCGCATTTGGAGATAGATGTCAACCAGAAGAGCGATCGAATGGAATGGGGTCATGTGAAACATCACACTGTAATGCAGCCGGGCTTTGCATTTGAGCTGGTCGTGGAGTGGGTTACCTCGTCGGGACCCATTGTATCCGATTTGGTATAGAATATTTATTTAGATTATATTCATAGATCTATTCTGATTGATATGCTTTCGCAATGACAGATCGCTGGATGGATGCGCAAAGCAATTCAATGTGGTTATCAGTTGGTCTCTGTACCTGCTGATCCCATGGCTGAGCCCTTTACAGAAAAATCAGATCCATTGCGTGGTCCCATTTTCATTCCCTTGTGCGTCAACTTTTTGCCAGAAGGCAGATGCCTTTTTGATGGTTCGTGTACATTGTCCCATCTCTTTGATTGGTAACAGCTTACTTAATTATCCCATGTTTTAGAATTTCCGGAGGACAGCCGCTCGGATCGTATGCTCTTCCTTCAGGAGGCTATTCTGGCTAGATTTGGCTTTCTGCCCTGTGTTCTGGAGGAGAAGTTTAATCAAAAGAAGGACGTAAGTAGCTAAATTAATCATATCATATCATAAATCATCATCTTTCGATACTTCAGCTGCCAAAGGAATATCAGTATGTGCATTGCACTGGAAACATGTTTGCCCTAATACGGTATTTATCTAATACGGTCTATATATATTCTATATATTGATTAATTATTTCATATATTTGTTACAGCTGCGCCAGCAACAAATTCCAGGTTGAATCACCTAGTCGACAGGAAGCAAATGTCACGCGTTGTGTCTATGGGCATACCAATAATACCAATGTACCCAAGAAGGTGGGCTTCCTTTGGTCTTGGAATCACATGATACCCAACAGAAAATGGAAAACGTTGACTATTAATAACTCAGCTGACGGTGAACTATTCCAACTGAAAATGTTAAAGGATTTCCGCGAGTTTTGCTCAAATGGCGATCAACGTTTAGCCAATTTCTGGTCACAATCTCAGGAGCTTAAACGCAAATCCCTTAAATTTGAATACAACAATAACAATGATGAACCAAAAATTATATAAGAAAAATATTCCAAACGAAGCGAAATTAAAGTTCTCGTATTAAGAAAAACAAAAATGGTTGTCTACTTATCTGCTAAGATATTTTCTTTAAAATCCGTTTACTTTACATTTGAATTGCATTTATTTATCGTCATAAACTCAACTTTTATGTATATGTAAAGGAAAGCACAGCAGCATTGGGGTTGTTTGCTCTGAACTCGGATCTGAAATGTCACACGGTTCTCCATCAGTAAAGGAGAAGTTTATCGAGTTGCTCCTTTGAAGTTGCTGCTTACTATTGCTAACCTATTCAGGAGTGAGAGTATATGGGGTAAGGGAGGGGTAAAGGAGTTAGTTGTGACAGCTTTGGTCGTGTTCTGTTTTGCAGTTGTAATTGTTTTCTAAATGCTTTGGTATGCGTTACGCACGGTTCGGCCACCATTAGTGATCGCGCAGATATTCGGTCAGCAAAACGCGATCGCGACTCAGCCAAGCGGCATTCAGGCGTATGGTCTCTACAGCCTGTGAGACAGTGCGCTCACAGCCGGGTATCTGGTTGGTCCTGAAGTATTCTTCCACTTCGCGAGCCTTTTCCTCGCTGGCAAAGTTCTCGATCAAATATTTGATGAGGCGTGTTAAAAGAAAGCCGCCCTACAAACAGATTAAAGCAGGGCGTTAGAGAGTCAAGTAGCAGTTCCATAGAGATAAGTTAATTACCTGATATTGCTCCAGCAGCTGCTTGCTGTTATCCTTGAAGAACTCCCAGGCTAAATCGCGACCCTTGGGGTTTACGGCCACAGCGACAATAACAAACACCGAATCCTGAGCGCGCACTTCACCCTAACAAAGTACAACACGCATAAGCAATAGAAGCATATATATACTATATAGAAATGCTGACACTTACCGACATTGCAAAATCGATGACACGTCGCAGCAGTTTTACATCGCCAATGCAGCCGAGAGCGCGTGAGATGCGATCCTGTTCCTCGTGCAGATCGGTGGCACGATACAGCTGCAACATCTCCTCAAAGATCGCCTCGTCGCCATCCTGCAGCACGGCCTTGTAGCAAGTGCTACGCAAATCGGCAGGCAGTGCCTTGGTGCCGTTGACATGGCTACGAAAACGTTGACGTGCTGTCTCCGAAATCACTGGACTGCGAAAAGAGACGAGACGTGTGAGTACCAGGCTGCGCAGAAGCGTATCCAAATGATTCTCATTGTCGCGGGGCTCCCAGCCCAAACGCTCGGCCACCGGCTCGTAAAGTTTGCGTCCAAAGTTATTGAAGTCATCCATGAGATCCGTGTGGGAGATCAGAATGTGCAGATTGGCAAGCGAATTGGTAATGGCTGTCCAGACGGTGTAGTTCGTCTCGTTCCGGTAGCTCCCTACCAGTTGGAGCACTTCAACGGTGCTGGCCTTGCCAGCCTGCACCATGGCAAACATATCATCAATCAGACCGAGTCTGTCAAGTGGTGGCAGCTGCATATTCTCCACAGCGGGCAATAGTTGCTGCAGCATCTCCGGGGAGTAGCGCGTGCGATAGTAGCCAACTGTCCCTGGATTGATTTTGATCCAATCATTTGCGTCCACATTATCCAGCACAACTTCCATGGTCTCCTTCTCGAGAAGGAATGTCTTCGCAATCTGATTGGGATTACGCGAGGTGGACACCGATATGGGTATCACCCACAAGTTATTGTTAATCGGATACGAACCATCCGCTGTAAATTTACTCTGAGTCAATCGCAGCACGCGTTGTGTTTCGCTTTTCTGATTGGACTCAACGCTAACAACGGGAAAGCCCTTGTACTTGATCCAGCTGGACATGACAGCACCCACATTCTTCGAACTGGCCTCTTGCAGAGCCTCCCATAGATCCTCGGTGCAAGTGTTGCTATATTGATGCCTAGTCAAATAAATATTCATTCCCTTGCGGAAATCATCCTCACCAATGTAATCGTGGAGCATGCGGATGACCGAGGCGCCTTTGTTATAACTAATCTCATCAAAGATCTCATCGATCTCTGAGGGATGGCCCACTGGCACCTCAATGGGATGCGAGTTCTTCAACGAATCCAACTCCAAAGCCCGCGTATACATGTCTGTGACAAACTGTGTCCAAATATCATATTCGGGAAACAGATGATGCACGCAAAGGAACTCCACAAAGGAGGCATAGCCCTCATTTAACCACAAATGTGTCCACCATTCCATGGTGACCAGATTGCCTGGAATATAGTAAAGCATTAGTAACGATTACTTATATTTGACTGTAAGCATTCGCTCACCGAACCACTGATGTGCAATCTCATGCCCCACAGTAAGAGCGATCGATTGCTTGCGCATCAACGACGTGTTCTTGGGATCCACAAGGACGAACGTTTCGCGATAGGTGACCAGACCCCAGTTCTCCATAGCGCCCGCTGAGAAATCCGATATGGCAATCAAGTCCATTTTGGGCAACGGATATGCAATATTGAAATAACTCTTGTAGTAGGGCAACACCCTGGTGGCCACCTCCAGTGCGAACTGTCCTTGTTCCTTCTTGCCAACAGGTGTGAAGACGCGCACAAGCACCCCATCATCCGACTTGGCCTCCACAAAATCATATTCTCCCACAACAACAGCCACCAGGTATGTGGACATAATGGGAGTGCGATCGAAGCGTACGCGACGCAAGCCGTTGGGCAGGACATCCTCTTTTTTCACCGGCATATTGGACAGGGCGACTCGATCCTTGGGAACTGTCAGCGTAATGTCAAACGTGGCCTTAATGGCCGGCTCATCCCAGCAGGGAAAGCAGCGCCGGGCATCTGTTGCCTCGAATTGGGTGACACCCGCATAGCGTTCCTCGCCAGTGGGCGTAAAGTATTTGCTCCTATAGAAGCCCTTCATCTTATCGTTCAGCTCCCCGGTGAAGGTCATATAGAGGACGCCGGGTGTGCCCACGGGCAGGTGCTTTTGGAAATCCAATGTAGCCGTCTCCGTCTCCTTGGAGTAGATAATGTGCTGGGCTTTTAACTTCTCGCAATCATATTGAAATTCTGCTGTCTCGATCAATATGTCGAGTGCATTGAGGGTGATGCGAGTCGTTGGCTCGGTGACCTGCAAAAGATAATAAACATAATAATAATAATCAAAATAATATTAATAACTGCATTTTAATTACAGCGAAAAAAGGGGCAATAAGTCAACGATCGTAACGTTTATGTAAATATCTATTATATATAGAATGCTGTCATCATTCATCATACTAAAACAGAATATAATCGTGTGCTGAACTGGTAGATATCCAGTATAAAGCAACCGAATAATTTGCTATTTACTTTTTCACTAAAAATACTACACTAAAAATAACAAAGCCTTTCTATGCAATTCTCATGAATTAAAATATCATTATTTTCTATAAAATGCGCTCAGCAGCTCTTTAACTGTCTACCAAAGCGATAAAGTAGAGCTGTTACGGGGTCTTCTACATACATATTAATAAATAAGAAAAGCCTCCCGACTGATATTATTCTGACTCTGTATCTAAAGTAAAAACACTATGTATGCTTGGTTTACGACTGTTGATAAGAAGACTACAAATATATGGGCAATTCAGTGTACCCAACTTATCATAGTAGCATCAAAGGGAGATGATATTCATATTTATGGATATAAAAATTAATATATGTAACGAAGCCAGAGACCGAATGAATGCGATCCAAACACAAGCAGATCACAATATGCCGTTATTTGAAGGCCATGACTGACGGAACAGTGTGAATTGCCTAAGATAAACCATTCAAACATAATACTTGTGAAACGCGTTTGATATTAAACGCATAAAATAATTTTATATTAGAATTATTTTTTCAAATAGGTGCGTAAAATAAGCATATTTCACATATGGAATATACACTGTGTGCGTACATTTTTTTTGCTAGCCCGGTTTCCGGGCCGCTTTAAACTCGTTTTCGCCAACTTTTTATTTGTAGTTAAAACAGCAGCCGCCGCCGCCGCCGCCGCTTAGATTTGGACAAGCATTTTTTTTACTATATATAGCGTATTTGATGCGCGATTAAAATTTAAAGCACAAAACCCGTTGCAGCTGCGTCTAACAATAAACGTAAACAATATGTGTACAGTTAGGAGATAAGCAGAGGCGTCGACAATGTGAACGAAAAGAAGGGAGAGAAGTTTCGTCAAATGTGGCGCAGTGCGCCTCAAATGAATTTATCTATCTGGATGCATAAACATACATATATAAATAAATGTGTATGTCTGTACAATAGATGCCTGCCATTTTCGTTGTCAATGTATAACAAAGAAATATTTCCTTTTCAACGAATGTAGCCTGCATGCAAATTGCAACATAAAGAGAAAATGGCACTGGAACACAAGCACACATACAGACATACTGGCGTGCGCTCGCGTTCAAGTGGGTGTAAGGGAGAAGGTATTATTTTTGCACACGTAAGAAATGAAATTCACCAATACACATATACGGAGTGAGAGAGACCTACATACATATTTATGATTTGTAGTCAAAGTGAAAGCGAAAGTTGCCAGAGGCTGCAAAATGAACGAAAACAAACACAAAAACTAAACTAAACTTAAAACGTAATACAACGGTACTTACACTGATTTGCACAATTGTCTTGCCCGTAAAGCTAAATGCCTGCAGATCGGGCTGCAACATTAGCTCATAATGCGTTGGCACCACACTTGTGGGCAAACGCCGAAATTCGCTCTCATCCGATTGGGCCATATTGTTGTGACCGCCGAACTGTTCCAACTGACGACGTTTGCAGCAGCTGTGAATGCCTCGATTGTTAGATAGTTGTGGATTTTGCTGTTGTCCTGCACGCGGATCAAGCAAATCGGCTGATGTACGAACGAGAATATCTCGATAGCGATCGCACAGATCACCCAGCAAGGGGGCGTCAGTGGTCTTCAGTGGTGCGCCCAACGAGACGTCCGAATAGTCGCGATAGAATTGCTTCTGTACCTTGACAAACTGCTTCGATGAGACCAAGGTATTCAGATGGCAACTCTCTGAATAGAGTAGATACGCAGAATGCTTATCAGCGCGATTAAGGCACAGGGTATGCAGGCAGAGGCGTGGACGTAACCTGAGGGTGTTAGTAAAAGCACAAGCGCAACGACAAAAGCTCTTCCGAGCCAGTTTGCACGCTGCAAATTTAGTTGCGGAGAAGCGGGCGACGGGCAGCGGATTGCACACTGAAACTAAATATGGAAGAAGTCTAACACAAAGGATTATAATTATTATTAATATTTTTGGAGTATTTAACACATCGGGAAACAGCGCTTAATTGTGTTTTACTTGTTACGACTGGAAACGGGTAAGCTGAGGGCTGTGGTGGGTGAGAGTGAAAGGGAGATGGAGGGAGAGGGAATTATAGGGTCTATTTAGTTGGCTGTACTCTTCTCACCTTCACACAAATGCTGCTCAAAATCAGAGTTTGCTTTGGCTAAATCCAAATTGAGTTTACCAAGTTCTGCAAGTATGATGTTTTAATGCCCATTAACGTTAAATTTGACCGAATAAAGTATATATATATCAATACATATATATATGCTAATTTGTAGAAGAAAAATTTATATAGAGACGGTGAAATACTGCAGGCAACTGCTGGCGGTTTCTGCTGGTGGCGAAAAAAAAACAAAAAAAAAAAAAACAACAACACACAACACGGTTCCAGTGTGACCCACTTGCGCTTGGTACGTTTCGGAATTGGGCTGCGCACAGCTGATGTGCGTCGTGTTATGCAGCCCGTATTGTTTTGCTTTAGTCCAAAATAAAATGTTTAATGAAACTTTGTGACTTTCATTACCGTTTCGGAATTTCCAAGCCTGCTTTGCTGTACGTATACCTCCTTTTAGTACATTTTTGTACATGGCATTTATTTTAAAATATTAAACGTTGTGTTAAGAGAATTCGCGAGTTCCACTCTCCACAGGTTTACGAACACTAGATACCTTACGGTAAACACACACGTTACGACTTGCTGTACAACACTTTTTGGCTCGCATGACGATAGTAATCGATATCTGTCGTACAAAGTTGGTACCGTTATGCTGCTTTGGCGAACTTTTCAAATAAATTTGGAAAGTATCGGAAAGTGGTATATACCTGTCTATTTTCCCCAACCACGCCAAATCGACTAAGCTTTATTTTGTATCGTGTTTTGTGTATATTTAACTATGTTTCTATTGGTTTAACCAATAATTATATATTTACCATGGCAATGTTATTATGGTAAATCGGGAAAACTGCATCATCTAAAGTCGTATAGCTAGAAACTGTAAATTTAACGACTAAATTACTTTTGCCCTCTTATGTGTATTTATCAAAATTAAATATATTTAATGTATCAATATGGAATACTACGTATGTTCCAGTGTTCGAGCTGGCAGCGTTTAGACCGTCAATGAGTGTTTTGCGGCTGGTAGTTTGTATTAAAAACTTTACAATAAATAAAGATAATTCTGCCCCTTTTTTCATCAAATACGCCTGCGGCTCGCTCAAATGAACAATACGTACAACCAAATAATGTGCTAAAAATAACCAAAAAGTATTATAAGGTCTGCTTGGAGTGGCGGCTGTTCAATTTCACTTTAGTAATTTAAGTGATCGGGCCTATAGCACGCTGGGTTGCACTTAAAAGTCCACGGTGAATATTCTCGTAAGATTAGACACCTTATGCTTCCCGCGGAACGTTAACTTTAAAGACCCAGCTGCAAGTGTAACGAGTTAACAGGAGGATTAACCATAAGATAGATATCGTCGGGCGTCCATTTCCAATATACATACACCAAAATTCATATACAATGAAATTGTGTTCATTATTACAGCTGGGTTTGGCTATATTGTTTATAGTTTTTAATATTTGCTCGCCACAAGCTGTCGCATCTCCTATTGGCTGGGGTAAGTGTAATCCGTCAAAAAAAATAGCAGCGAAACTATTATACAATTGTTTGCTCCAGTATATATTGGTTAGGAAAGTGGTCTGCAATTGCTGTGGCAACACTGTCCGTGCACCTGACGGACAATCCGACCGACCGATTACACAGTCGGTCTGGCCCTCTAATAGAAATCAATTTGCAATCAATTTGGCAGACAACGCATTTAGTTTATGCTTATATAATCGGTGGCTATTTAAAATAGACATTCTAGTCTGTTTTCAATTATGAATGTGACCGTCTGTATGTGTATGTATATTTTTTTGGCCATTTTCAACGTGCTGTACGTGTCATGCGTGCGTATGTGTGCTATTTATCAGCTGATTATGCCATTCTGTCTTCATATCATTCTGTGTTGGGTTTGGCACGTTTTGTTATCACCTCCTCCTCGATGTTGCGCTACCAATTCAAGTTCAATTATTGACAATTTCATTATGCACAACATAGCATAGACATCTCTCCTTCTGTATACATACATAGCCATTCTCATCATCAATTTGTTATGCGATTTTCACCCCCTTCAATAGACAGAGTGAGAGTGAGCGAGAAAGAGAGTGCAAATACATAGCTTGCCGCTTTGAAAAAAATAGCCTGTCCGCCATTTAGAGTTGCTTTATTGTCACGTAAGGCGGTTTTTGCTGACTATGTGTTTCTTTTTTCTCAACATTTCAGTTTCTTCTTTCAAAGTTTTTGTGAATTTTTGTTTACTTTATTCTCTCACTTTACTTAAACTTCCATGAAAGCTGACGCCAACAAAGCTCATACACGGATTTGTTTTACTCGTTGTTGGTCAAGTGGAATTTCAACCACGCGATTCGAATCGAATTCTGATAGTGTAGTACATATGTCCATACACATATGCATATACATTTGTGCATATATTTCCCGCAACCATGTATACTGTATTTATGCCGGTGTAAGTGTTTTGCTTTCGTACAGATATTTAAGTTTCAGATTCAATAAGTAATCGGCTTTCATGAATTCCACGCGCTAGCCTTCAGAGCCACTTGTTGCTGCCTGCAATAAATATAAGTTCCATTAATTGTTTAAATTTTCATTAATCAGAATTTCATTTAAGCAAGTTACACAAAACGTTTATGACTTCCAAGAGATCAATGCACCTGCACTAACTGCAATCCACTGAATTTATCTTGCAAGTAGATTTGAGTTACTACGACGATCTTTATTCATGCAAAATCACTTGGTTGGCATAGAATATCGATATTATCATCCTAAAATTGTTTCGATATCGAAGCAACTTAATTTTAAATTCTAATTATTCAAGTCGAATAAGAAGATACGGTTTATATCTATTTACATTCGCAGGTGTCTCAAAGTGAATACCTATGCAAACATCTGTTGATATTTATTGATTATTTAAATTAAAGGTTAGGCTTAATTAAATATGTGTCGTACAGTAACAACGGGCTTTGAATACTGATTTAATGACACCGGTTTTTCTCTTTTCAATTTACGAGATTTTTTTAAGGGTTCAGAGAAAGCTTTTCTACCTTTGTTATAGTTAAATTTACATAATATTTGGAATGGAAAGATTAAATTCTATTTTACGTTTAATACATTCTTTAAAGTCGAATAAACCTCAGCTTGGATTTAATACTTGCTAAATATATATACTTTATAGGCAGAGTTCATTTGGATTATCTGACATAGACATTAGTCTATGCCATTGATCTTGTATATATTACAAATTTTGCGACGCAAAATAAGCAATAAATTCAATAAATAAAACAAACCAAAAAATGGAGTGGAGATAATAAATAATGAAATAAAAACAAGATGAGAATTTTAAAATTCCGTTGATAATTAGTCTAAATTATCATACCTTATTCTTACTTATTAACTTTCCAAAATAACAAATACTTTACTGACTCAATCAGGAGATTTAAAAAATATAAAAAAATGATTATTAAGGTATCTGAGTCATAGATCTATATATAATTAACTTTTAAAATAGCAGTTGTCAAATATCAGATCATATTTGATCGAACTTTTATGTATTTAGCTAACGAGTTATTAACACGTAAATCTATTTAAAAATTCAACATTTTTCTGCATCGATAAGCCGTTGACCTCAAATTCCCTAAGTGCGAAGGTTAAGTTAGAGTTTGAAAGGTTCGCGAAATACGTTTTACAATCAACAATAAGAGACTCTGGCGTATAAAATAAACAAATAATCAAAACAAAACGCATATATGTATATGTATGTAGAAAAAATCTAATGATTGTCTATATATAACTATGTATACCCTTGCCAGGGGGTCATTATCATTTGTTCACGAAAACCGTAACACAACTGTGAAACTTGGCATGGGTCTCGCCTTATCTCTTCAGTACAATTTGATCGTGTTTGTTAACTTGACCCTAGGATGTTTTCTTACATATCGATAACTCATGATAACTCATAGGCGTAATCGGAGAATGCCACAAATAATACCCACAAACATATATACGTATATATATATATATATATATATATATATATATATATATATATAGCTGTCGTGGAGATTAAAGTCCTTAACATCTTACCCAAATTATGAGCAAGATTGCATCGTAAATACTGTCTGTTGAATATTTGTGTGCAAGGGTATTTAGTCTTCATCAAGCTAAAGCCAATCTGTCTCTCTTTTTGCTATTTACTTTGGATTTTGTGGAGTCAAAACGCGCGCAGCAAGCTGGCCACGCGATACTTGGCACGCAACAGTGACCCACAAAAGTTTGCGACTAGACCTAATGGTCAATGACCAAATGGCCAAACAATTATTGACCGCAATACCTTAATAAAAATATCGATACATATTCGATAATATATTCAGCCAGATTGTGTGTGAAAGTAAAAGCCAACGCGCCGACAACGCTGACACCTGTTGCAGCCTTCGCAAACAAGCAAACAAACAATTGCGTATCCGTTACGGAACTGATGTTGTTTTGCGTTCTTTTTTCTCAGGTAGTTCCGCAGCCTGTTTCCGTGATGCCTGTGTTTGCTATATTTGTTTGGCCAGTGCCCTTAATCATAATGTATTCAATTAACTGCCTAATGAACAGCTGCCATGTTGGCCAAAAAGTTGGGCTTTTTTGGGCATGAAACTGGCTTGGCAAGGCTTGCAAAATTTATTTTTTAATGGCTTTGTATTCTGTATGTGTTTTTTTAAAGATCTGGATTGTTGATGATTCGTATATATGTAGAATGCAGCAGGTTCTTTTTCTTTGGCACTGACGATCTTTCTTTCTATTACGTCGTTATTTACTAAAACGCTTATTTCCCACCTTTGCCCACCTTTATTTATATTATGTATCGATTGGTGTGTTTTTACTTCTGGGAATTTTCACATGGGATTTTCGTCTGGGTCAGATCTGGTCGTTCGTAATCTTATCAATCGGCCAGGTTCAGTGGGAAAGTTGTGCAACGAAATGTCATGCATCTCATTAATCGAACGTCATCAATTTAATACAGTGAGCACTCGATATTAGAAACTTTCAGAAATTACATAAATCGATTCGAATTCCAACTATTAAATATTGAATTCATTAAAATAAAAAAATTGAAATTCATCGAATAACATATTCATCTTTGAAACGCTGTCGCTTAAATTGGCTAAAGTTCGAAGAAATTAAGAATACTGTCGCGTAATTCAATGAAATGCGAGTCTAAATTCAAAATTTATATGAATAAAGCGAACATTGATTGAAATACTATATGCCTCTAATGATCAACATGGCAAGAGACAGCTCAAGGAATATAGTAAAAATGTGGCGCTAACTTAATTGAATGCGATTGATTGAACTTAATTTTCAATACGCCTGCTACTGCACCAGCTTCCCGTTCGCATTTATTCTTCAACGGTTATTTATAAATAACCAATGGCTTTCTCTTTCGATAGTCATCGATAACGATCGTTTGTAATTGTTAGCTAATGCAACAAGTGCATTAGAGTACATTCCCCTTGCTCCTGTATCAACAGCTAACTCCTTTGAACTAAATGTTCAATACTATTTTTATTCAACAGCTATTTATTGTTTGTATGTGTGTGTGTGATTGTCAACAAGTGCATTTCAGCCACTGATCGTCTCTTATCTTATCGATAGCAATCGTATTAATTGCCGACTAATGCAAAGTTTAATTTTTTTTGCAGATTTTGCCGTTACGCTGCGCGACAAACTTCTGTTTCTGGATAACAATTTGAAAACAATAACATCTGCAGCACACGAATTCGAGGAGTTATCGGCATTAGCTTTTGATGAGGCCGAGGAAGTAGTCTATTTTAATGATAAACAACATCAGAATGGCAGCATATTTTCGATGCGACGCGATGCAACGGTTGCATCGAACATTGTGGAGCAGGCAGTGCATCGCATTGGCAATGATTCCATATCCGGATTAGCTTACGATCCGCTAAACCGGAATTTATTCTGGGCGGATATGCGACAGAGTCTAATTTACTTTGCCGGCATCGATACACTGTACACGGAAACGCCCAAGGTTTTGGTAGATCTGAGTGCTGAAGGTGGACGACCAGATGGCGTTGCTGTTGACATATGTCGCCGTCAGCTGTATTGGACAAACTCGAAGATCAACCATGCTTCCGTAGAACGTATCGGATTGAATGGCATGGGTAGACAGACAATCATCAAGGATGATATTGATATGCCCCGTGGCATTGTGATAGATCAACTATCGGATCGAATCTTCTGGATCGATGACAAGGTGGGCATATTCTTTGCAATAGAAAGTGCTCGACTAGATGGCAGTGATCGTCAATTGGTGCTCAAGGACAAGCATCAGAGTCCCATACAACTTGCCGTCACAGATGAAGCGATCTACTGGACAGACAAGGCGGACAAAGCGGTCTGGAGCTATCCCAAGCCTGGAAACAAAAATTTAGCTACGAATATTACTGAACCGCTACTGAAGCCAACAAAGCTAGCCAGCTGGAAGGAAGATGTCTATGGCATAGTCGCACGCACTGGCTTTTATCAACATCTTCAGAAAGATGTCCATTGCGCTAGCATAGTGAAAAAGGTCAAACAGCGTTTAGACACCAGGTCACAAAAAATAACCGTAGTTGACGATCGTATAGAGAAGCTGGAGCGTGAACACTGCTTGAACGGTGCCAGCTACATGGTCAAGGGTAACTTCTGCATCTGTCAAGTGGGCTTCAAGGGTGCACGTTGCGAGATATCTGAATGCCATAATTATTGTGTGCACGGCACCTGTGAAATCTCGAGCATGGGCTATCCGAAATGCTATTGCCAAACGGATTTCTATGGCGAACGCTGTGAGTACTACAAATGCAACAACCATTGCCTTAACGATGGCCACTGCATCGTGGATAGGGACAGCGGAGAATTGAGCTGCGATTGCCGTGAGAATTTCACGGGCACACGCTGCGAGCACAACGAAACGGCGCACTGTGGAAGTTATTGCCAGCATTTGAAACAGCATCCGGATGCATTTGTACCCGCCACCTGTGTGGACATGTGAGTATCTCAAGTGGATAAGCAGCTGCTTATACTAAACTATCGAAATCTCTTTTAACAGTTGCGAGGAGTTGCGTCTGACCAATGGAACAATTGTCACGGAATATCAATCATCAGCTTTGTGTAACGATATGCCCAGCTATAGACAAGGTTCTTTGATAATTGTACTCGTTGTTGGCGTTGTCTCCAGCTTGGCTCTGGTGGCCGTCATTGTGCATGGCTTCCGTCTCATTCACAAGCCCAAACGCCCGCGCATTAAGAAGACCTTTGTGGTGCGCAAACAGGCGCGTTTAAATTCCACTAGTGATACACCTTTAACCAATCGCCCACTAGCCACAGAGCAATGCGAGATTACGATAGAAAACTGTTGTAATATGAATATTTGTGAAACGGTTGGTCATACTATAATTCCATAATTTACACAAGTTATTAACTTATTGTGAACATTTTATATGCACAGCCTTGTTTTGATCCTAAGCTTGTGGAACAACAGTTCTCAGGACGCGATAAAAAGGCGCCGTGCGTTAAGGAGGATAAAAAGATACTAATACATAATATGGAAGATGATCTACTGAACTAGATGAACATCTATATAAATAACGTATAACGTATAACGTCGTGCATGAAACAACGGGACGGACGGACATGTGGTATTCGAGCTTGTAAAGCTGCTATCGCCGCCGCCTATCCTCCAACACGAAAAATACCCGGCTCGTCGACGTCTTTGCTCAACCAAAGATCCTACAAAGACCTAGCAAAAGTTTTAATACTTAACTTTGAGAAAGGAAAACGTGTACTTAGCAAACTTTTACAATTAGTAGTCTGGTCTCATTAATTTATTTTCGTGCAAACTAAGTCTTTAGACTTGGTTATCAACTGAAAAAATCGTCATTCGAAAGGGTTATATTTTAATTTTCAATCATATAGTTTTTAAGTTTCTTTTATTAGTCTTGAGATCGGTTGAAGGAAATTTTTATTTGAAGACATTCGGCAATGAACAGATCATTTGAAATGAAACTGGTAGAAAAGTCAAACATGACTAACATTAAATTAAAATTAATCACACATACATGAATGTATACATATATATATATATGTTTATATACAAGCGGCTGATTTCATATATTATTGCCAACTGCACAAATAGGCAAAATGTGATTCATAAAACGGTTAAACTGTTTGTAAATAATAATAATAGTAAAAAATTTGAATTTGTATCTGTTCGGAAAATAGTTCCTCAACATAATGATTTAATATTGTATATATATGTATATGTATATATACATTTTACTTTTGTTTTGGTTTTTCTAATATGTCATGACATATGCAACTGCCACACACCCCCATATATACATAAATACATACATATTTACAGCTAATTGTTCGCACCAAGATTGCCTTCGTACTTAAATTAGCCTTTTATTTTAAACAAAGGAGAAGAAAATCCCCCAAATATAAAACAAAAGAAAATGAAAGTAGTAGCACAATAATTGCGATCTATTGCGAACGGGAGTTGTACATATGAGTAAGCTAGACATTAGTTGTTATTAATAAGACACATTGGTTGAACAATAAATGAGAACGTACCTTTGCAGTTGAAATAACAAATTAAATCCATTGCAGTTCCGTTTCTTTATCGCAAGTCGAAAATTCTTTTCAGTTGCACTCCAGTATGCACTTACGCCTCTGACGTACATAGTGTTGTAATGAGGTAATTGACTGGAGATGATTAAGCTTATAATGCCAAGACTCTTGTTCTTATAATCTTATTTTAATGCTGATCGGCACGTCCACACCAACGAATTTGCTGCTTCCGAAAAATATTTAACGTGCAACATCGGTAAAACAGATAATTAAATTATCGATATTTTGCTTTACAGCACTAAAATGTTAACGGGAATCGATAATTTGCTGCGATACCAGTATCGATGCCATTCATGTACTTTTCGTCGTATCCATTTTTCTTGACGTCACTCAAATTTTCGCAAAATATTAAACTTATATTTAAATCTTAAATATAACTAACTAAATACACATAAACAAAGTCTCATTTGTGCACTTCAAGAGGATGGTAGGTTTATAATAGTTAATGCCACATATTCGTTGTTTATTTCGCTTGTTTCGTGAACTTTCACATTTGGCGTGGCCTGCGGTTGCGGCAGCTGCAGTGCGGGTGCTGCAAATTGTATTTCGCAGTTAATTGAATCTTAGTGTGAAAGTGCAGTATGAAAATTTTAGTTGGAAATGCTTGTTGAAAGTGAAAACAAAGAATTCAACACAGACATGTACTTTTAACAGCCTTATAATTAACTCTGCGTGTGTATCTACGCATGCACGTATATATGTATTGTGCGAGTGCTTGCTTATATACATATATGTATTACAAATCTTGCCGTATATGTGCATAGTTTATACTAGCCCACTGACCACAGTTTTTGGTATTTTTTTAACTTCTAGGGAAGCAACGACAGAGCATCCAGATCGCCACGTTCGGATGACCAGCGCGATATCGGCGAAATGCCAGTCACAAAGCGTTCGCGTTCGGACTCTGGTAAGTGTTTCGTCTGGTTGGGGATGAACAAAATTGTTTATAAGTATATAAGTATGTATCAATCGAGTATATATATATATATTTATGTACGTAAGTTTATTAAAGAGCAAAATAAATATATACATATATGTAGGTTAATGAAACGCAAGGCAACAAATCAAACAAAAGGAAAATATGTATATACAAATAGTTATTATTTTAATTTTTGTTAACATATACATTTGCATACACATCTCTCTCTCTCTCTCTATCTCTCTTTACTACTACTTCGTTGCATTTAAAGGGCCAGCACAGACGTTATTAAATAATCGGTTTTTCTTTTTGTTCTGCTTAAGTAATTGCAGACTTCATAAACGCACGATGATCTCAAGTGAGGTGAGGTGAGAGTCAAACAAATAACCAATACGAATACGAAACAAATATCGAACAGTCAAGTCAGTCCACACGCGCGATATCCAAAACTAATTGCGAATCAACTCAAGTGTCTACACAATACTATCGATATGTGTCGTCATTATGAGAGAGTGCGAAACAAAATCTAAAACTAAACACCAAAAATCACCTAATATAATAAACTAATTAATACCTAAACAAGCACAAGCGTATGACTTGGCAACTTAAAATAAATACTCATTGTAAAGTATTGCAACTAGGGTACAAGCCAGAGTGTATGAGTGTATGTATAAAAAATAGTGAATCCTCGCCGCATCAACACTGAATCGCAATGATCAAAAACTAATCTTAAAAGCATATAACTATTCTCTCTCTCTCTCTCTCTATTTCTTCTATATATATCTCTTCTTTTTCATTTATTTTGTAAGCGTTTTTTTCTTATGTTTGTTCCGACCAAACGACTTGGTTCTTTTGACTCGCCAATCAAGAATTGACATCGATCAAGAGATGCCCTATATAGAGAGTATTGCCAAAACCAACTGCTACTACCCACCAAGATACAACAACAACCGAGTTGAATTTAATTGCTTTTAACAACATTTCTTGCCGATTTCAACGTCTACGTCGCGGTTCCCGCACCCTGAGCTGCGTCGTCGTCGTCTCCGTCTTCATACAATGTGCTGCAACAACGCGTTGGACTGAATGATCCGCCCCTACATCTCTAGAACTAGTCTTTTTAAAATACCACAAATGATTTAAATACGAACAATGTAGTTGGGTGCGTGACTGGATAACTTGTACGTGACACGAACATACCCGAATTAGTTGACCCACTAGCTAAAAAAAATCTAACACGCGCCTATCTCTAAAACACAATCCAATTATTGCTAGTTGTTTATAGAAAATCTACAAGTGTCGTCCGATAGTTTATGAACTTTTCAATATAGTGCTGTAATATGTACATACATGCATATTTTATTTCAAAGATCTAAACGATTTTCAAATGATGTGTAGATGATTTATTAGTTAGCACAAGTGTGCTGTCCATATATTTACAAAAAAAAACAGTACATTGAAATATTTACAGTAATATATAAATAGTATCTATATATGACAACTACACACACATATATACAAATACATACATACATGATTAAGGTACGGCGGAAAAACTTAACCAACTTAAAAACATATTGTTGCTCTTATTATCGTTTCAGCGTCTTGTTTTTCTTTTTATTTTTCTCTTTTTTATCACTGAGCAATGTAATGTGTGACCCTTCAAGTCAATATACCACGCCCCCAACTCATGGAAACCGTATCGAAACGCACATATCTAAGGTCGCTTATAATTTCTATTTTTACAAATACATTTACAGGAATTGTGCACACCGTTAAGTCCAGCTACCCGACACGAACAATGTGTACATATTAACAGCTATTGTATTTTGAATTCAAATATTTTTTGGGTGTTCCCTTCTTTGGGTGTTGGAATTTTTCAGTGTGCACAGCTCTTTAGTATTTTCTTTGGTTTCGATTTGTGCGGCGACGATTTGCCTGCTGGATGTCCGTTGGAAGAGTTTTTATTATTTCGTTTGATATACTCGATATAACTGCATTTATCTCTTAATTACACACCACACACACATACACAGTCGTACTTTATTCTTTGCACAGCCTACGTATATCTCAAATTAAAGAACGTAGGCTAATTTATGTTTTCAATTTTACGGGTGCTTTCTTTTTATTCTTGCATTTTCCAGCTTTTGCAAATGACAAAACAAATGCCTTGCTATCTGTCAGATACTATATCTATTTACGCAAATTCAAATCATCTTTTTTATCAAGCAAATACAGCAAAACAAATTTAAAATAATGTCTATATTCGTGATGCAAACGACGACAAAATACAAAAATACCGATAAATGATAACAGTTTAAAAAACTACTGAACTTAAACGTAACGAGTAATGCATCGATAGCTTTTAATTGTCATTGTGTTGTAGCCTCTCGATTGAATCTCTGTGACTGAATCATCTGCCGGTTGGCAATTGGCCCGCGTACAAGCAGTTCCAGACAGATCTCCAGAACACACAGTTACATCTATATATACATATATATAATAACTATATGTACGAAGAGCTCGCCGGCCAGCAAAGTTTTTTTTTATAATTAATGATTTTTTTTCTCTATTTTTCCTTTTTGTCTTTATCTTTCTTGCAGGCATCGGTTTTTGTTTCGTATCGCTTCAAATTGCTAACTTTAGCAACTATTGCTCGAGTTGCACTTTGAGGTCGACACAAAACTCATGAAAACAAAAAAGAAAAAAAAAAAACAAATCAAATCAAACTGAAAAGAACGAAAAACAAATTGCTTAAACGATCGCTTAACTCTGATCGGTTTGCTGAATGAGCCCATTATCCACATAACATATTAGATGCACTAATCTGTCTTCCCAAATTCTAGGCAAGTCAGCGGATACGAAAATTCCCTACCTTTCGCAGCCACTGTATGATCTTAAACAGACGGGCGATGTTAAATTTGGACCTGGTACACGTTCCGCTCTGCTAGGATTGTTGGGAGGTGCTTTGCCCAAGCTTACATCGGAGCAACATGATCTGGTTAGCAAGGCGAAAAAGTATGCCATGGAGCAAAGTATTAAGATGGTATTGATGAAGCAAACACTCGCCCATCAGCAGCAGCAATTGGCCACCCAACGCACTCAGGTGCAAAGACAACAGGCTCTGGCTTTGATGTGCAGGTAATTAAATGAATATATTAATCAACTCATTATCAAATTTTATGATGCAAAATCTGGAGAGTATTTCGTGAATAACTTCATTGCGTAATCTAGTACTTCGCGTTATTGAAGCTGGAACAAAACGTATGTTGTTAACTGTGCAGCTTAGCTGATAAGATCTGATTTCAAATAGATTACCAACTTAATCCTTAGCTCGATTGTGCCTCCTAATAATATTTACTTATTTTACAGAGTATATGTGGGCAGCATTTCTTTCGAGCTCAAAGAGGACACAATCCGCGCCGCCTTTACGCCATTTGGACCCATCAAATCCATCAACATGTCCTGGGATCCCATTACACAAAAGCACAAAGGATTTGCATTTGTTGAGTATGAAATACCAGAAGGAGCGCAATTGGCATTGGAGCAAATGAATGGCGCTTTGATGGGTGGCCGAAATATCAAGGTGGGACGGCCAAGCAATATGCCACAGGCGCAACAGGTCATCGATGAGGTGCAAGAGGAGGCAAAGAGCTTCAATCGTATCTATGTAGCCTCTATTCATCCCGATCTGTCGGAGGATGACATCAAGAGTGTATTTGAGGCATTTGGACCTATTCTTTATTGTAAACTAGCTCAAGGCACATCTGTGCATACGCACAAGGGCTACGGTTTTATTGAGTATGCTAACAAACAGGCCATGGACGAAGCCATTGCCAGCATGAATCTCTTCGACTTGGGTGGCCAGTTGCTGCGGTAAATTAAAAATAGCTTAAGAATTTCAATACGTTTTTAATCTCTTGTAATTCTCTAGAGTTGGTCGTTCGATTACGCCGCCAAATGTTTTGTCCTGTCCTGCTACAAATTCAACAATGCCAACGGCTGCAGCGGTTGCTGCTGCAGCTGCCACAGCTAAAATTCAAGCTCTGGATGCAGTCGCTAGCAATGCAGTACTTGGATTGGCGCAAAACACGCCTGGCTTAGGGATCGCGGCCAAGGTAAACGCCATGCCCGTTGTTAGCGCAGTTACCTCGGCAGCTGCCTTGCATCCAGCATTGGCGGTGCCTACGACGCCAGTTGCTGCTTTGTTGCCTCCAGGCATGTACCAGGCGCCTGGATTGGGTGGTCCCAGTTTGTTAGGCGTGCCAACTGGCTTGCCTACGCTTCAGAGTGTGGCCCCCACACTTCCGCCACCTGCGCTGCTTGCAACACCGCCAACCGCTGTTGCATTAGCAGCCGCTGCTGCTGCGGTGCCAGCTGCAGTCTCAGCAGTGCCACTTGGCATCGTGGAGGCAAGCAACGGATCGCCTGCTGTTTTGTCGGTAGCCGCCAACAATGCAGCGGCCACTGCAGCAAATCTGTCGGAGAATATCAAGAAAGCGCAAGAAAAACAGCAGGAGGAGCTTCAAAAGAAGCTAATGGATGAGGGCGATGTTCAGACGCTACAGCAGCAGGAGAATATGTCCATCAAGGGCCAAAGTGCACGTCAGCTGGTGATGCAAAGGCTGATGCGGCCACAGGACTCACGTGTCATCATCTTGCGAAATATGGTTGGACCTGATGATGTGGACGAGACATTACAGGAGGAGATTCAAGAAGAGTGCAGCAAATTTGGCACCGTCAGTCGTGTTATCATCTTTAACGAAAAACAAACAGAGAACGAGGACGACGACGAGGCGGAAATCATTGTGAAAATTTTTGTGGAATTCTCAGCCGGCGTTGAAGCTGTGCGTGGCAAGGATGCCCTTCATGGACGTTTCTTTGGAGGTCGTCGAGTGGTGGCCGAGCTATATGATCAGGCCCTATTCGATCAGGGCGATCTCTCTGGTTAGAAGGAGGAGGAGGAGGAGGAAAGAAAACAGCGATTGTATCTTTAGTCTTACAGATTTAAACCTTTCTCTGGCAGCAACCGCCTCTTTTTTTTAAATACTTTAGAGCTCAAACGATTTATTTATTACTTGGCGAAGAAAGAGACTGTACATTTTTTGAGCAGTAACAATGATTGAGCAACCAGTATCTATTATTATAAAAAGAATAAAAAAGCAGTGATCGAGGTATTTCAAGAAAATCCCAAACAGTTGTCGCCAGTTCTGTATAAAAAAATATAATGCATATTCTGCAGTTACCTAGAGTAACAAAAACACAAAACTAACAAATTGTAAATTTTTTTCATTTCTGCGCTTAAAACTTACAATAAAAAATCTAGTTTCCCATTAAGCAAAATTCATGTCTTCTCATTTGCCTTTTAAAATGTGGGCCAAAATCTAAATCGATAATCGATTTTCTAATCGTTATCAATCAATCGGGAATAAATAAAAGCGAGACACGTTAACGCTAACAGTAGCCGTTGGCAGTGCCAAAATAGTATTGTATGTTACTTAACAGCGTTCTGTTGTCTGCGTTAGCAGACTTCAATTTGCGTTAGCTCAGTGGAAGAAGAAGCATTGTATGAAAGAAAAATAGAAAATATGATGCCAAAAAGTGAATAATCAAACTGATTCGGCCGTAAAAAAACCAAATAATATTGTTGTGTTTGTATGCGGCGTAGCTGGAATGTTAGCGCGTTCCACACATTGTGGCACCTCCAATCAATCGCACTCGCAGCCAGTTGAAGACATTTTTGACAAAGACATCGCAGCAGCAGAAGCAGCAGTAGCAACAATCATCGACAACTGGTCGCGACTTGCGTAGCCGTTGGAGGAAAAAAGGTACACAGAGAAAAAAAACTAATACTTAAACGAAAACGAAAATATCTCCGCTCCTTTGTTTATGTTGTTAATATTGTGCTTAATTTTTTCGTGAGAGTGTGTATGTGTATGTTGTGTGCTGCACCTGCTGCACACAGCTGATATGCTTTACGGGGCTGTTGATGATGTTGGCCACGAATTTCTTACTGGCCTTGCCTTGATAAGCGCAGACTGGCTGTCGCACGCACACACACACGCATGCACGCATTCAACTTTTACTGGACAAGCCCAACAGTTTTTTGTTATTACAGTTAGTATTTACATGGCTACGCACATAGCTCTATTCGCACATACATATGTATGCGTTTCTGTTTATATTCAGCAACTGCTTTACATTCTGTTTTAGCATTTGCTTCCTTCCGTTCATTTGCATGCGCTTTGGCGTTGCCAACTCGATCGTTGTTGTTGACATTCGATGTGCATCCTGGGGCCCACACTCAGCAGCTTTCCAATGCACACAAACACACTCAGATGTATGTGTATATATACGCACACTGTTGCAAGTAATTGTTTCAACATATTACGTAATTTGTCTCTAGCAGCACCCCTCAAAATCAATTTAAGACGTTTTACAATCACGTGTAGCATGATTTCAGCATTTTTACTTATTTACAATCAATAGTAAGTCTGATAAGCTGAGAAACATTTTGGATTATGGTCTTAGCGTAGACGATCCGGGATTAAGAAATGAGTCGAATTATCGAATCTTGAATTCATTTGATGAATATAATCCTAGAGCATATAATGCTGACTTCTATGCTGACATTTCGTAAACGTTTCACTGGCTGTAAAATTAAAAGTTCATAAAAAGTTCTGAAATGTGTAATAAAAATAGTATATCCAAGTAAGACATGTCAATTCCTTATTGTCACAAATTCACTGGCTGTAAGATACAATAGAGATAAATAACTGTTTTTACTTTGACTTCCACTCAGAATCACTTCTCCACCTTATCACATACTTAAACGTTTCACTGGCTATTTCAATTCGACCTAGACAAGATTAAAAATATGCCATCATGTAGGCGCTGTAGTTAATGTTTGATTATATCAATACGTAAATTTTAGTTTTTTCCCTTTAAGTATATCTGAAGCGAACGCATTACCTTCTAATGCCTTTCTAGTTCCTCTCCCGGTGACCCGCACCACCGAAGCAGAATACAGAGAGACGAGAGCAATCCACAGGGACGTCGTTGTGGTTTGACAACATTGAGTCACACAGCCGAAACAGGAACAGAATAAGTGGGTATTACAAATACACTAGAGATTGCCCAAGATGAGCTGCAAGGTGCGGCTAATGGAGGATGGGTCACTGGACGAGGAGCCGTTAACATTAAAGGAGATCGCTTATCAGAAGCTTTGCAACAATCTGGACATTATCAGTGGCTATACGGAAAGCGGTCAACGTACATTGAATACAGGCATTGTACTAACAAATGAGATTTGCGATGCATTTCTGGAGAACTATCAACGCTTCCATAGACCACTTGACGATAGAGTGATCAATCTATTTAGCGATACGCGCCGCACATCGTTAAAGATTGTGAATCTGCGATATAGCACACTGAGCAGCGTAGGTGGGTAATGGGGTAGACACCAAAAAGTTGATAGATTGCGATTTCTTTATTAACTTGTTGCTCTTTTGGTTGCCTTTTCAGGTCTGGAGACGCTGATGCGTCACAAACTATTCGCTTTGTCCATGTGGTACTGCGATAAGATCACAGTACAATCACATCACCTGCTAGCCCATTATGGCGATAGTTTGCGCTCGTTGGAGCTGGGCATAAGCTCGCATCTGTTGCAGAATGCGGAGCCCAATGAAAAGGAGCCAGTTGATTTTCAATTGACCTGCCCACATTTGCGCCGTCTGGTGCTCAATGGCGTTGTCATGCATCATCGATTGCAGTTTGCTCATTTGCAGGACCTCAGTCATTTGGATCTCACATCCTGCGTGCTGGCGAACTTCAGTCTAGAGGCACTTGGCATGCTGCCCAACCTACATACGCTCATACTATTTAATGTCTGGCCTATTGCCAATCAGTTGCATGCGATCTGCTGTTTGCGTCGCCTCTGCACTTTGGATATTTCAATATCGAGTTCGGGCAATGGTCATGGCACCTATGATCTGCCCGATCAGACGCTTGTCATGCTCATGGATAATCTGCGTCATTTAACACATTTGGATATCTCGGGCACGAATTTGGCGGGCAATGGCGTTGCCACCAAGGAGTCGACTAATGTGAATGCCAAGACGGAGCAACACTTTGGACCCACCGATATACCGGGCTTAGCGTCTCGTACACAGCGTCCGCTACAATTTCTCGGCCTTTATCATACGGCACATTGGGCGTGCAAGCGACACGATATACCCGCCCTGGAGGTGGCAGGCGATGCCAATGAACAGCAAATACTCACAGCGGCGCGTTACTATCACGACAGACCAGTGCTGCTGACAAGGGTGAGAGCAGAGTCTAATCTAATAGTGTTCTCGCTTATATTTTAATTATCTCCTCTCTTTTTCCTGCAGGTCCTTAATGATCTGTATCATCTGTTTCGCTTTGAGAATTACAAGGACATACACACAGCACTGGATGTTGTGCTCTGTGCTATGGACAGGCATCTAAAATTCAAGCACATGCAAATATCGGGCAGGTGTGTAACATCATTAAATATGTTTAATATGGAATTCAATCTTTTTTGTGTGTCTTTAGGACTTGTTATGGTGTGCTAGCTATTGTTTATAACTTAACAGCTGAATCTAATCTGAATCTTTTGCTTATAGCGCCACACTCTTCTACATTGTCAAAGGACGCGATCGTTCAAAGTTTGGCACGCTGCTGCGCAATCACATTATAAGAACCCTGCTCAATGGCATGGAGGTACATCTAACAGATGACACAATGCTGCGAAATGGCTATCTAACGCTGACACAGTTTCACATGCCTGTCGATGTGGTAGGAGTAGAGTTCTAACCTAAGATTAAGCTAGTTTACTAAAACTTACCTTTTCTATAACCGTCAGCTTTTTGAGTATGAACGGCTTATTAAGATATTGCTGCATGGCGTCTCAAAAACGGAGCAGGAAGGCTTTGTGCAACGCATGGCCATCTATTTGCTAAACACGCTCGCCTGTCAGGTGGATGGCAGACAGAAGCTATTTCTAGGCGAGCTGGGCGTGGTCAGCGTAAGGCTATAGACATTAACAATAGAGCTGTGCACTATATTTTTATTGGTTGATCTGTTCGTAGACAATGCTGACACTCATCAAGGATCGGCTAACACGCTCAGTTTTTGACGATGTCATGGAGGTGGCGTGGTCGACCATGTGGAATGTAACCGATGAGACTGCTATTAATTGTAAGAGATTTCTGGACGGACGCGGCATGGAGTATTTTCTTAAGTGTTTAAATGTGAGCCATAAACAGCATCGAAACTTAATGCAATCGTAATACATATGTTGATATTTTCTCTTTAGACCTTTCCCGATCGTGACGAGCTTTTGAGAAATATGATGGGTCTATTGGGAAATGTGGCCGAGGTTAAATGGCTTCGCCCCAAATTGATGACACAGGAGTTCATTGAAGTGTTTGCTCGCCTGCTTGATTCATTGAGTGATGGTATCGAGGTGGGTCAGCTTGGTGGTGGAAGACTAGCCAATGACAATCCTAACCAACTGCGCTTCCAGGTCAGCTACAATGCGGCTGGAGTGCTGGCGCACATAGCATCCGATGGCGCCGATGCGTGGACCATTAAGACGCCAACACGACAAGATGTTCTTGAACGCATGGTCGCTGCCATTCAACGTTGGAACATCAAGAGCGAACGGAATATCAATTATCGCAGCTTTGAGCCGATTTTGAGTCTGGTGCGCTGCTATGAGACTCCCGAATGCCAGCACTGGGCTGTCTGGGCGCTGGCCAATCTCACCCAGGTGAGAGACAGCAGCTAATTGACATCCTTCTTGTGAACTCAACAACATTTGTCTTTTAGGTCTATCCGGATAAGTATTGCCAGCTGGTAGAACAGGAGAACGGCATACAAATCTTAACAGAACTAATCGAGCACGAGAGTCCTTATTGCGAAATCAAGCGCATAGCTCGCCTGGTCATCGAACAGTGCGATTTGGGCATGGAGCGCATGGTGGAGGGTTAGATCAGATCAGAGCCAATTGCCAGTCGTCTAGAGTTACGAGTTCAAGTTTGTTGTACTGTTTTGTGTGTGTGTTTAAAAGGCAACAGAGCAAGTGTTATATTGTTCAGATTCTTCCTCGATTTTTTATGTTAACTTCTGCAAAAGAAACAAGAACTAAAAGAAAGAAAACATTTTTAAAATATGGGAGTAATTTAGCAACGCGTGTTTAACAGAGAATTAGGTAAAATAAAAATGAAACGCTAAATATATCTATTATAATAAATATAATAGTATATAGCTATATATCATGTTGTAAGCAAACGAGCGATTTTTTTTAAGACCAGATTAAGGCCCTGTCGGAAAAATTGTAAATATTGTTAACGAAAAAAGAAAGAAAGAAAGAGATAAGGAAAAGGCAAACGATGTAGTTGCATATTAAAAGAAGAACTTTAATTGACTAATGCCATGAACCGGGAGTCTTTCGTATATCTGAATATGTGGGTATTTTAGCTATTGAATATGTTTGCTCGATTTGTTTTCTTTTTTATTATTATTTTAGAAATAGAATTAAAACAAAAAAACTTAGCTTAAGTTTAATGGAAAACCGTTTAACTCGTCCGCTTTGTGTTCAAAAATGCAAATGTTTTTCGATCAGTTCCTTTCAGCAATAATAATAATATGTTTTTCCTCTTTATTGCATGTTCAAAAGATTTCTTCATATTATGCTTACAAGTCTAGACTAATTAAATGTATATATGTACGTATGCATACATCAGTGTGTTTCATTATAAACATACTATAAGTGTATTATATACATTGTTTCCACACTGCGAGGCTGTTTAAAAAGTTGCCGCTCAAATTTAATATGTTATATTTTAATTAATTGTAATTATCTTTAAATCACATACTTTTCAGACTATCCTCGTTTTCAATTTTAATATTTTTAAAATCATTTTTTGAGCTCATTCCTGGAGTTTCCCTCTGGGATCCATAAAGGCTCTAACAGCTTTTACCCATACCTGCACACACTTACACACATTTCTGTATGCGTGTCAATAAAGCACGCGAAGCGTGTGTATGCGTGCGTGCAAATTGCAGCAGTCTGCAGATGTTCTACAGCTTGTCAATTACGTCATAGGGTTGTTCGTGTAGAGCTGAGGGTGGGCGGTTCTTGTTGTTGCTGGTGGGTCATGAAATGCCAACGAGTTGAAAAGCGAACAAACGCGTGGCGCATGTGCAGCAAGTGCAAAAGTAACCCCACAAAGACAGAGAGATAAAGAGCGAATCTCCCACCCACCAGCAACCCTTCACATTATGATGTCTGCGCTCTCTTCTGCTCTCACAGCCTTCGTTGCTGTCAGTTGCAATTTTGCCGCCCGGCCGAGTGTTAGTTTTTGTTTTGTTGTTGCGTGGCGAACCCTCTATGAAATAAACACAATAAGCACGGTATTAAGATGTGATTACAAAAGACGATTTCCTTATTGTGACTTCGCCAATTCACAGTTTGCTTATTGCTTTCCCTCTTTAAAACAACAATTCATAAGTTTACTGAACAAAGTCAACAACAGTGAAGCAAGAAGAAAACAAAAGACACAACAAAACGTCTGAAACGGAGTCTGCGCAGTTCGCATGGCAACGGAAGTGCTCGAAATGTGAGTAAAGAGCGAAGAGGCGGAGGGGCAAATAACAACAACGTGAAAATGCATTCGACGTGTGTTTGCCCATTTTGCCGGCCCTCAAAGCAGAGTTCAGTTACTTCCGTTAACGCAGATCAATAACCTTACTAAAAAAGCGGAATAACAAAATGGGGGAGCTTTGATTGCCATGGACAACACAAATGTAATAACATTAAACAAAAAGAAACTGTATTCCGTGCATGAAATAAGCTAAGGTATTGATTACCATTTTTAGTCTATGATTAAACGAAATATCATTTACTCTGGCCCATTACAAAGCGTTTGCAGCAATTCCAAACACGACAAATTGCAGCGAAAGATGTTTGTAGGGCGAAATGAAATTTAAAACTTCATAAATATCCCGCGCGTTTTTACCGAGGTTTGAACCTGGAACTGTACGTGCGCTCGGTGTGGCAACTCTACACGCTCAACCAAAACGACACCAACGAAACTAGCGGCATTTCACTATTTGAAGTAAGCAAGTTGTTGGCAGACCGAAAAGCTCACTTGTTAAAAAAGCTCCCACAGTGCTAGTTGATATAAATATAAATGCGGGAGTTTTTAAAATGTAAAAAATAGATTCAAATTAATTGTGATATAGGAATTTTAATGTTTCTTTTTATATATGTAAAAAAAATTATATAATTATTTAATATAATGAACAAAATATTTTAGACATAGGGGAATTCGATTTATCTAATCTATGTTTCTTGTACAACAGTAAATTGTAATCGCAATCTCTGCCAAATTTCAACGAAAAGATCATCTTAAGCACTTCGCTAACAATCCTGGAACGCACGACGGACACTGGCAGATATGTGGCCCGGCTCCGAGCGAGGCAGCTCGCGAGCCTTGGAGTTGCCCACCAGCCAACAGAACGCGGGCGGTAGTAGTCAGCAGGAGACGCTGGCGGACATTGAGCACATATCGACTATAGCCGGTTCATTGGCCTCCATCGGCACATTGTCGCACACACAGATGCGCTACGTGAGTATCCCTCCTCTGATTGGCATCAGACAATCTAATTAGACCAACTAATTTCCTTCCTTCTGCAGTGCACAAATGATGCCGGCTATGATACGGAACACACATCGCTCAACTCTGATTTTGATGAGGCGGAGCTACGTAGAGAGCTGCTAAGAGATGTGAGTTTGCTGCCCTATGAGTCTACACTCATAGAAATATGGTGCTAGAATTATTTCATAGAAAATATGATGGGATCAATATTAAATATATCTATTAAGACTCTAGTCTGCTTGGTGCTAGAATTATTTAATAGAAAATATGATGGGATCACTATTAAGTATATCTAATAAGACTATAGTCTGCTTGGCTATCCTCCATATTTTCTAAACAGTAATTCACGTTTTCTCTAAGTGTACTTCGTATTTAGAGTTGCAATTTCTTATTGCTTTATTCTAATTTGAATTCCGCTTTATTTTTTTCCCAACAGAAATGGAAACTTTTATTTGATATGGTAAGGAAAAGTTGTTATGAAGCTTTAATATATATGTTATATATGTGTCTCTATAACCTTTCAGTTCGATCCGGAGGGCTTTGGCGAAATATCCGTTAGCGAGTTTTTGGTCGCCTTGAGATCGCCGGAGTTTGTGTCCCAAGTGCCTATGAATAAGCGAGAACTGTTGCTGGAGCGTGCGAAGAAGGCACATCTGCCCATCGGGCCTGGCTATGTGACGTTCCAGGACTTTGTCAACGTGGTAAGTGCATTTAAATCGAATAGCCACGTGTCCCATGTTGCACTGCTGCACGCGGCTCTGTCTCTCGTGCGGCACGAAGCAAACAACAGGATTTGAGTGCAAACACAGGTGCATGTCCCATTTGCTGGCTGCTCCGAAGTGTAGGCTCGTGTCCAAACAGCAGTTGAAGCTACAGCTAGCATTTTTGCTATACCCTAGGTCTGACCTGCAAAGGGGCTTATTGGTTATGGAAACTATTTAAAATAATGAAATGTTTGTAGTCGATGCTTAGTCAGCTCGGATAGCATACATAAATATAAGACTCTTTATCCTAGGGGTGAATAAACTACCCTATACTTGTATGTTCCCAGTGCTGCTCTGTTGTATTTAGAGACTTTTGCTCAGCTGATGTAAACGTCTTCTATGAAATGTTGGATATCGACTCTGATTCTCATAACTCAAGCTCATAGCTCGTAGCTTCTTTGGGGTATAGCTAACCTATATGCATTGCTTGCAGACAGTTTAAAGAGAGATTTCCATCTAGAACTCTTGATAGAGAGTTCCTAGGGTCTACTCTAGAACTCGAAGATATCTTCTTTCATACTCTATTCGTTGCCTCTCAACAAGCTAAAGATCTTGTTGCCCCGCCCACTTCGCTCCACGGCACTCTGTGCACATTCCAGATATCATCGATGCCAACATCTCCTATGTCCTATGCCAGAGTATTATGCAGTCGTTGCTCTGCTAACAGCGCTGGTTCTTCTTCTCCTTCTTCTCTTTGCACTGTGGCAAATGCGAAAAGTCCATTCGCACTCGCCAAATAAATGCAGCGTCGTCCTCTGGCCAGGACACGTTGTTAGGATTTGTGTTTACCTGTGGACAACAGCACAACTCAGTTGCCAGTTGCCAGTTGCCAGTTGCCAGTTGCTAGTTGCCAGTTGTTGGGATTACGAACGTGCCCATGTCGAGCCCTAATTCGAATTTCTTGTCTTCTAAAGGCTCTTCTTTTTTGCCGATTTATCCTGCTAAGGGATTCGCTCTGAGTAGTTTACAATATTTCTTTCCACTGTTTGCTGTGCCAATTGACAATTCTGTTGCAATTTGATTGATTCTACGCTTGATTGGCACACACACACACACACATGCATAATGGATGTCAAGTGTATTTTGGCCTGCGTCTTGCTTTTCAATTGTTTGCCAAAAGAGTCCTCAAAGTCATGAATTAGCTGGGCCCATCACAAAGCCTCTGTTTACCCTTGTGTTGTCCATGCGTGTGTGTGTGCTCGTGTGTGTGTAACGGTAATTGTCAATGGCACAGCTCATTCATCTGTCGTTTGGTCAAACCCAACATCAGAGCCACACAACAAGCCATTGATGGCATCTGAATTGGGAATTAGCTCCTGTTAATAGACCGCATTAGACCAACGACTATTTGTATACCCTTTAAAAGTGGGTGAGTGGGCATTTATGTTTGTCTCTCATCCGTGACTCCTGTAAGCTGGATCATCATTATTGATTCAAGAAACTCCTCCCCAATAGCTCTATTAATAGCTAGACCTCAGCAGCTCTGTCGCTTCTCAGTTCTGTCTTTGGCATTGCGCAGATCCTGTCGCTCATCAATGGCAATCTCTTATCAGAGCTAAACGATCTTTAGCTGCCTCATAGGCAACATTTTACACAACATTTTTGTACTTAATTATAAATTTCAATGATTGGCCAGAAGGGTGTGGTAGAGAGGTGGCCGTCGGACATGAGGCGTCAGGCATCGGACGTCAGGCGTTGGACCATATGGACGCTAGGAGCAAGTCCTTGTTTGGGCCGCTGCTTGAATTAAAGCAGGAATGCCGCTACTAACCAGGCAGCCAGGCAGCCGGCCAAGCAGCTAGCCAGGAGCTGTGCCATGTGCCATGCATAATGCAAACGACGCCGATGGGCGATGGGCGATGGCCGATGGCCGATGGCCGATCGTCGATGCCGACATCGATACAATGGAGAGATTGCGATTGCCTGATGATTGCTGAATTTTTAACGAAAGCTCGCACGTGACAAATCCTTTTATGGAAGCGCAGAAGCAACAGCCGGGCATGGAGACGGCGCCGGGTGCAGCCAACCGCAGCCAAGACGAGGAGCGGCAAACGTGTTGAACGTTATGACAACTGCAAGCACGAGGCTGTCGGATGTCGGCTTTCAGCTCGAAGCTGGAAGCTCGAAGCTCTCAGCTGCCGATCGTCAGTTGTGCATCTGGTCACACACGTACACGCACACACAAACACACACACAGCGGGCGACCCCAGAACCAGTAAGAACTGCAGCTGAATCCAAGAATTTAAGCGTGCACAGCTGTTGATCCATATCGAAGCAGTGATGCTCTTTACCCAGTAGAAAACTTCCGACTCTTCCAGAACTGAGCATAGTTTTAAGTTCACGATGAGTCAGTTTTTAATGAGTCATCTCGTGAACTAGCTTATTGAACCTTTGATTATTCCGTGCTGGTTCGAATTGTAGTTCTGTAGGAATCTTTCTCTCACTATATGTAAAGTCTCCTTGTCTGTCTTAATGGCTCGCTCTCTCTCTCTTTCTCTCCCTCTCTCTTTCTCTCTCTCTCTTTATACCTCCAGTGCTGGTATGGTTTTTGAACTAAATCTTCGAAGAACCTTGCCTGAAGCTTAATCATTGCTGCATTCTTCTGGCTACTTCATTAAGATGGATTCTATTGATGCTGGTTAAGTTAATGGTTCACTCTAAGACCTGTCAGACCTTATAAAAGCTATTTGAGTGTGATTTGAGTCTTGTTTTAAATGGAAATTTAGTGTTACCCTCTCGAGTGTTTTGAGGTTTATAGTAAAGGTGTTTTTCAGCCGACCAGCTGTGGTGGCAGCAGAACTCCTTGAGCTGCGTTCATGCAGCTCATCAGGCATTTGTGGCATGATCGTACGTATATAATGATTTGCACACTTGCCATTTAGCTGGCTACCGAAAGGTACATGGCTTTTAATTGCAGGCTGATCGGGGAGCAGCAAAAAACCAGCAACATCAGAAGAGAAGCTGTAGCTGTAGCTGTAGCTGAAGGAACGCTGCGTAGAATTCTTGCATTAATCAGAAAGTCAACGGAGCTGCCAAGCATTCGATCATAAACGAAAGCAATTGGCGACGAGCTGCGATCTGCGAGTGGCGAGTGGCGAGCCGCAAGTCGAGAGTCGCCTCCATTATCATAATCAGCGGACGCAGTGCGACGGCGCAGCTGGCAGACGCCAAATGCTGGAAGCTGCACACAGCCTGAACCTGTGCCAAGCACGCACCAAGAAATTCCAGCGGCTTGTCTTGAATGGGGAATGTCTGGAGACGTCGGAGGCGATGCCATGGCCAGCTGGCGGATCGGGTTTATTGAATAAACATTTGTGCAGGCGCTCCAATGTCCAGTCCCCATGTTGCCCCAATACCCACTTCGGTGGCGTCTGCTCTGCTGATCTGACAGGGTTGATAAAAAAACAGCGAAGGAATCAGATCAGCTGTGTACGTTCCTTCGCTCAGACATATATATTTATATATACATATATATATATATAGATTTATATATATGTATGTAGGTAGGTGCAAAATGCCTTGCGCCTTGGACTCTGGGGATGCGAGTCATCCAGCGCACAGATCGTCTCATGGATGCGGTATTAAATCAATGCCAATCCATAAATGGACCAGACGACGCGTCCCGGTGCTTGATGTTGCAGTTGGAATCTCTTTAGCGATTCCATTATTCCACAATTATATCGCAATCGCATGAAAAAAGCGGACAGTTTAGAACGTTCGAACCGCCTTTGTGCACTTTTCCAGGTAAAACAGAACTGCAGCATGAAGGTGTGAACGTGCCTCAAGCTAGTTGTAGACGAGTTCGATCATAATTCTAGAAGTTACTCAGAGCCAGGATCAGGATAATGAATGACATGATATATATTGACAGACCTTAGAGGTCTTAGTTCTCAGCTGCTTTTCATTAGAATGTTTCTTCTTCTGGCTGGCTTAAAGCCAATCGATTGTGGGCTATCCTTACGCTAAAGACCCAACGTTCGATTATATATCTATCCAGCTATCTAGCTATCTATATGCAATCATTGCAGCATACACAAAAATTGCCAAGCTTTTCTTTTTGCTGCTCGTTTTGACTTGTGGCCCATGCCAAGGACGTGACAATGCCAAGAGAGGGCGTGTGGGGGCGTGGGCGGTGGCTGCTAAGGATAGCTAGCAGAGCTACTGTTGCTGTTGACGATGTTTGGTCAATGGTCAATTTGGCAGCAGTTTATTTTGATTGTTGTGCATCCGGGGCAAGGATAACGATGTGAACACGAATTGGCACAGCCCCAACTGAAACTGCAACTGTCCCCACACACAGACACACACCCACGCACACACACACACAGTATTGGTTGTGCTGCTTCAATATTTTCGGCCATAGTCACGAAATGTGCTGATAACGATTCCTAAAATCCATTTTTTGGCCTGGTTCTTGTGGAACAGCAGCACATTGATGTCCTGCGGCCGAGCACGCGCACTCTACAAATAATCGCTTATGCATTTTTTGTTTTTTTGTGTGTTGCCTTTACGTGAGCGAAGAGGCGTGGCAGCTGCAGGTGTAAATGCTTTAGCATCTAGCTTAAATCATGTTGCTGGTCACATAGCCAAGAGCAAAACCAATTCATGTGCTCTGTTTAGAAGGTGTGACAGCAATGGGGTATATGGTATATGGGCTTCGATCAGATCCCTCTCCACTAGTCAAGCAGCCGTTTGCCATTTATCCACAATTCATCTAGATTGGATTTTGCGCCTGCTGCTCCGTGTTTGCTGTAGCTCCGTGTGCCCCGCTCATTAGTCACAATTGGTCCAAGTTTCAAAATCAAATTAGCTGCCGCACATTGTGCCTAACTTGTGCTGTAATGGCCACAACTAATTATGTTGAATAAATTTTTGGTGGAATGACCTACGCACCTGACATTTATGATGGCGCATAAAACCAAGCTGGAATTGTTTAC